TTGCGTATGAAGGACTTCGGGTAGCCGTTGGCTTTAAAAAGGCCCTGCAAGTAATTCATCTCCGCCTCCCTCCCACTGTCGTCGCTGCAGTGTGTTTGAACACGTTGAAAGAGAGTTCTGCCACAACTGCGTTTATGACCAACAGGGTGGTTGCTTCGGAAGTGGAGGATGCGCCTAGTATTTGTTGCCTTACGGTAAACCGTTGTCCTTATCTTCCCGTCTGTCAATCTCGTAACTTGTACGTCCAGGAAGGGCAACTGATTGTTTACTTTCTCTTCCATAGTAAACTGAATGTCGGGGAAGATTGAGTTCAACAATGTCTTGAAAGCCTTCACCTCGCTCCTCTTGATTACAACGAACGTGTCGTCGACGTATCTGGCCCAGAACTTCGGGGGGTACGAGCTGAAGACCTGCTGCTCGAGTCTCTGCAAAACTGCTTCGGCAATTAGTCCAGACAGAGGCGAGCCCATCGGTGTCCCCTTCTTTTGCTCGTAGACTTGGCCGTTGAATGTAAAGAAGGTCTTAAGACACAGTTCTAGGAGCTCGATGATGTGTGCTCGTTTGAGCTGTTGGTCGGTCTCATCATACTTTTCCCGGAGAAAGCCATCAATAGTGTCGATAGCCAGCGCGGGTGGGATGGAGGTGAATAATGAGATCACGTATATTTATATATATATATATATATATTTATATTATATATATATAATAATATATAATATATATTATTATATATATAATTATAATATAATATTATAATATTATATATAATATATAATATATAATATATATATATATATATTTATATATATTTATATATATATATATATATATATATATATTTCGAAAGAAAACAGTTCTTTGGGAAATATTAAACAAGTTTTATTGTAAATTTTCGAACTTGGTTCCCCAAGTCGTCTTCAGACGTGAAGTAAGTGTGCAACACAGTAAACATTTAAACATGCCGAAAAATCGATTTTGCCTTGTTACTCCTGCTGGTGTGATGTTCTGATTGGCTAACGCCTTTCCCACTTTTCTTTGAGGCTGTTGTACACCGTATCCAATTCTACGTGTCGATTGATGCACGCGCTGTCAGAATGGATGGCCTCTAAAAATTCACGGCCCTTTTTTGATGAGCAAACACCAACAATGCGAGTCCTGTCCCATGCGAATTTGTGGCCCGTTTCCAAGTTCGTGTATTCGCGTAGAGGCCGATTTCCCAGTTTGACCACAGTAAACTGCATTGCAGGTGTTGCATGGTATCTTATAGACGACTTCCTTCTTATCTAAATAGCCAACCCTATCCTTAGGGTGTACAAGCTGGTTACGAAGTGTAGTCGTCGGTTTGTGCGTCACATGAATTTGGTGCTTCTTCAGTTGTCTTTCAACTAGTTCGGACACATTCTTAATGTATGGAAGTGTTCGCCAGTTTTTTGGTTTGGGCGCCTGATCGGAACAATCTAGTTCCTTCTCTTTTTATTTTAACTCCTGTCGTCGCATGCATCGGTGTACAAAATATCTAGGATACCCATTCTGGGAAAAAGAGAAGGAACTAGATTGTTCCGATCAGGCGCCCAAACCAAAAAACTGGCGAACACTTCCATACATTAAGAATGTGTCCGAACTAGTTGAAAGACAACTGAAGAAGCACCAAATTCATGTGGCGCACAAACCGACGACTACACTTCGTAACCAGCTTGTACACCCTAAGGATAGGGTTGGCTATTTAGATAAGAAGGAAGTCGTCTATAAGATACCATGCAACACCTGCAATGCAGTTTACTGTGGTCAAACTGGGAAATCGGCCTCTACGCGAATACACGAACATCAGTTGGCCGTAAGAAGGCGCGACTACTTGTCCCAAGTTGCCATGCATACGTTGGAAACGGGCCACAAATTCGCATGGGACAGGACTCGCATTGTTGGTGTTTGCTCATCAAAAAAGGGCCGTGAATTTTTAGAGGCCATCCATTCTGACAGCGCGTGCATCAATCGACACGTAGAATTGGATACGGTGTACAACAGCCTCAAAGAAAAGTGGGAAAGGCGTTAGCCAATCAGAACATCACACCAGCAGGAGTAACAAGGCAAAATCGATTTTTCGGCATGTTTAAATGTTTACTGTGTTGCACACTTACTTCACGTCTGAAGACGACTTGGGGAACCAAGTTCGAAAATTTACAATAAAACTTGTTTAATATTTCCCAAAGAACTGTTTTCTTTCGAATTATGATTCTTGGGATGCCTGTTTTCCAACATATATATATATATATATATTTCAGCTTTTCTAATTTCCTGAGAAATTAATCCTAACTTGCAGTAGAGCAGTCAATTTAAGACTTTTCGGCTGATATTGAACTTTGACATGAATATTTGTATTTATATTATTATGATGAAGTGACGCTCCCTGATAAAGTTATGGGGCGTACTAGTCCCGTTGTGCCTTGGAACTCAATCCTGAACCCTTGCAGACAGTCGCTAGCGACTGGTAGATTCATGCAGATGATGAAGTGCCGACAAAGACAAGGGAAAACGGAATGACCATTTTTGCTTTATTAGCCGTCATCAGCCAGTCTTACCCAATCCCAAGCATGAGCCACCTAGGATTTGAACACGGGCTCATTGATCAACGAGTCGTACGTTGCATCAATGAGTCAAAAGCTCATTATCCTGTCATTTGTGTTCGGGGATATTAATTATGGTGAATAGGTGCTCAGCGACCCAGTTACGGTGAACGCTGGATCTCGAATCCCAGGTGGTTCACACTTGGAATTGGGCATGGCTGACTGGTGACGACTAATAAAACAGGAATGAGCATTCCGGTCTCCTTGTCTTTGTAGGTACTCTAGTATATGTATATACGTTTTAGATCAGAGCTGGTGTGCATTCCGAGCCGATATGATGAAGAAGACAAGCGGTCCTTTGGGAAAGTCGAGGTGTACTCGTGAATTTTCGAGCTCGTGCCACCAACCCCATCCTCAGATGAAATGAAAACAAGAAAGTTAAATTGTCACATTAGACAAGTTGGCGCGACAGGACAGACAAAACATTTACGTGTGACGTCGGATGGTCCCAAAGTCGTGGTTGCTTTCTGAGTTAGAGGAAGGGGGGCAGAGAAGGCGGAACAACTACGACACCCTTTCCTAGAGGGGGAGGGTGGATGGTTGATGAGTAAGATTCTGGGCGTCTGTATTAGTGGTTGTTGATGTGCGATTAGAAAAGGGGTCAATCATTCGTAAACGTAGACCTTTGTAATGGGTATACAGGTCAATATACTAAAGTACCAAGCCTCGACAAATTTCTTCGCTGGCTTTATGTTAGCCTTGGGGACGACTTCAGTGTCATCCCTATTGAATCGGTGATCGTACTTGAGTGCATGGGCAAAGACGAAGGACAGGGGATTTCGACGGCGGATAGCTAGTTTGCGTTCGTTAGTACGGGTACCCAAGCGTCTACCCGTATGACTAACATACACGCAGGAGTGATTTGTGCACGAGATACGATAAGTTACAATTGTTTGCTGCTCTTTGCAGATGGGATGCTTGACTCGAGATAGTGCTACGCAACGTGAGGATGCCGGTTTGTGCGAAACGTGAATACCCACGTGATTTAACTGCCGCACGATTATTTCATAGGTTCCCCGCATAGATGAAAGGGAGAAGAATTTTCATGCCACGATATCTCCATTTTGGTCGTGGTCTCGTTGCTGTCCCCGATCCTAGGTGCGAGAATATAAATATTTACCCAATATTTGATTAGCTTTTGCTCATAAAATTGAACTAGAGAAATTACGGTGTCGAAGTTAATGTGTATCTTAACCGCCAACTTGATTCCTAAGCAATACAATGCGTTTTGTAAGTACCAACCTTTGTGCCCAGTATATACGGACTGGAAACATCTGGGTCTCATGGGAGTTTAACACTACTTTGCGCTGACATTCACCGATATCACTGACGATCCGGGGCGGTACAGAACTCCAACATTGCATCATGCAGTCGACCCAGACTTTTAGCGTTACTTCCTCGTATTTGCATCTACCTGGTCGCAAGCACTAGAACTCGATTCATCTGAATCCATATCTGTCCTGCCTTAACTCCCTGGAAAATCTCATTAAAGTCTTCGCAAGTTTGATCGGCGTTCATTCCCAATGCTGATCACTCAGTCTGTCCCCACTTCCAGCAGCAAAATCCAACGCTCTGTCCTCAGACCATATTTCTGAGCTTTCCTAGATTATTGCTCAAAATTGACGCTACCATAGAAAAACACGAAGGCAGAACACTCAAACTGATTGATTTTTTATCAAAGCAGTAGAATTATACGTCCATTCGTTGTGAAAGGTAATATACAGTGCCCGGTTTAACAGATAAAAGGTGTCGAAAATTACGAGTGATTGCCATAAAAGAAATATTAAAGGCAATGTTACGCAGTTTAGAAATACCATTTTTTTGGAAAAGTACAAAATCCCTTAAAACGTCGAAAATGGTTGTAATTTAGTAAACTTCGCTTGTAGATGTACACAATGGCTTCCCATGCAAACACCTGAGTAAATATGAAAGCAGAAATGGAATAACAGCTTTAAATAGTGTTGTAGTGAAGTTTACATTGAAATATCCCTTCAGAATTAGTGTAATTTCCGGTATGACGTTTTGCCAACAGCCTACATTCTGAGTAGAGATTATAAAACATTTTCCTGAGGATTTGCTGTATACTCTAGGCTTTTGGAGTAATTGAAATACGGTTTAATAAGTTTTTGTTTGATTTTACCGATAGGGAACAAAAGTTTACATAAGGTCACATGCTGTCGGGCTGATTGTTGCCTTATAGAATTGGCATATGCTATCATAAACGTACCATTTCGTGTAAGTAGAGAGAACTCTTCCATGAAATTAGTTTTTACTTTTCGTTTGTTAAGGTTTACGCTGAGTCTCAGGTCGACCTTGAATGATCGCTGACTACTTCACAATTTGCAGTGTTTTCATCCAATCGTCCATAAAGACAGATTCTCTATTATGCGTCTGTTAAAAAATTTAAAATAAGGTACTTGTTTACCGAAGTAGCAAGTGGTTGGGCGTTTTTTTCATGTAGAAAGTCGTTTGGGACACAGTTGAAGACTCACTCAAACAGGGACCCTCATCATCGAATAAAATTCACGTCCACAACGAGCGTCAACGACAAATATGCCTTAGATTAATTAGAACACTTTTGCATAATAAGATACCTCTTTAAAGAGTACTTTCATACTGCATTCCGCTGCCGGTGTCTGCATACTTTAGTTTTTATGCAGAGTAAGGCCAAGAAAAATTTGTCACTTGGTTGTTTCTTTCACTTTCCTAAACAAAACTAATATTTTTCTACCCTAAACGCAAGAACAAGCCTCTCTCTTTATATTGCAGCCATTTGCTTACCTTTCGACTCCTTTTTACGATTATGAATGCCCGGCACAGGGGCCATATAAATACTGATACTATGCTGAAATTGTTACTGTCTTGCTTGTTCTATTTTTGAATAAAGTATGTGCAGAAGGTAGACTTCATAAAAAGCAATGTTTCATATGTTCAAAACTGACTATTTAGTGATGGTCATTTCTGTAACATCACGTAGAATTTTCCAAACACGAAAACAATTTTAGTCCGCTTAAACGAAGGATTTCCTGTGCGCTTTATTACTGCACTTCAGGGCACCAAGTCGCACAGACCTGCTAAAATGACGTCCAAAATTCGATAACATATCTGATTATCTGAAAATGACCTTTGTGTTAGAAAGTTTATTCCCATGGTTGGCATCGGAAAAACAATTGATGTTGGAGTTCGACAAACTCGGTTTATTAAAACGTACTAGAGTCACTCGCTCTCCATTCAAAGACAAACACACTCAGGTGCACAGCCAAAGGCTAGAACAGGTTTTAGCATAGGAAATGGCCTGAGTATAACGGCATGTCCATTTTCGACCAAAGTTATAAACATCTAGCTTGGAAAAATTACATGGACACTTACCGCACAAGATGAGGTCATTTCCTTAAGGAGGCTGAGCAGGCAAGCAAAATGTGCAGCTTTTTAACGTCCGTTAATTCTCGCATCAGTTTCTGTCATCGGACCTTATGAGATAGGTCACGTACTGTATTTCCTGTTGGCGTTATTTTTATAATAGCTTTAGGGAATCGATGTCTTTCATTTGCATTTTTACCACTGGTTTGTAAACCGCAGCAGCGGCTGCGGAGATAAGTTATCCGCATAGTTATCGCTGCCCGACTGAACTTAGTCAAAGTTATTACACTGCTTTAGAACCACTTCACTGTGCACATTTACGCTATGGTTACCAAAGTAAGAGTCGGAGACATCTCAGGAATAGCAAGCACCGCCTTGCTTCCACAGTTTCAAGCTGGAACACGCAAGTGCTTGAAGAAGTTTGTCTAGTGTGTATGGTTAACCTTAAAACAAGTTACCTCACCATCACTAACCAATCGCAGTTGAAGGCAGCCCCGATGATATCCAATGCTTCCTTACGCCTTCATGAACTCAAATTTCTGTTTTGTCAGCTGATATAGTGCAATCGTATTGTACGGTAGGTGGGCTAACTCATGAAATGTCAACTGAAATTACGAAATGCGATTTCGTTCCGGAAATATTAATTAGGCAGAGCTGTAAAATGAATCATCCTGCAGCATAATTATATAATATTTCAATTACCTCAGAATTCCGGTTTTCGAGTGATCTTCCGTTCGGCTGCATGCAAAAAGGACTACCTAAGTAGCATGTGTTTTTCTCATTGACTTTCGATGCCCTTGAAAATCCTATTGTATTTCATGGAAAACAGGCATAAAAATATTCATTCTTTAACTCATTCGGTAGAACATTACGTCTTCTTCCAAACTTATAATCAAAGGTAGGGTATAATTCGGCTTTAAAAAAATTTTCTATTTCCCAATAATGTTGAACCCGAACTGCTATTACGCTTGCATTCAGGGTTTCTAAACTACTAACCGTATATTTTCTGCGTACCGAAAACCACACATTTCTCTACGATAGTGAAAGGGGCATTATATGATTCATAAAATTTGGCAGTGTTGTTGATCCATATTGTTAACTTCACAAGTCACATTGGTAAATGTAGAGACATGACGATTTATAAACGGCCATTTTACGGTATTTAAAAGTACCACAATTAGAATTTTTTTAAAAACGAATTATATCCCTCCTTTAGTGTAAAATTAGAAAACATAATTTCCTACCGAACGAGCAAAAGATGAATATTTTGATGCATGTTTTTCATGAAATATAATTGGAATTTTAGGGGCATCGAAAATCAATGAGAAAAATTCATGCTACGTAAGTAGTAGCTGGGTTTTAAAAGAGTTTCTAATTGTGGTTTCTTTAAAACAGTGAAATGACCGTTCATAAAACGTCACGTCTTCGCATTCACCAATGTGACTTGTAAAGATAACAATATAGATCAAATCGACTGCTAAATTTTTTGAACCCTGTATGGTCCCCCTTTTGTAGCGTAGAGAAATGTGTGGTTTTCCGTACGCGGAAAATACACGGCTTGTGGTTTGGAAACCCTGAATTCAATTGCATTGGTAGAGCTGATTCAAAATCATTCCGAAATTGGAAAAGTTTTTCAAAACCGAATTATACCCGTCCTTTGAGCATACGATTGGGAGAAGACGTCATTATCTACCGAATGAGCAAAAGAAGGAATATGTTTATGCATGTTTTCCACGAATTATAGTTGGACTTTTAGTACATCGAAAATCAGTGAGAAAATATCATGCTACTTAAGTAGTCATTTTTACTGAGTGTAGTTTTTGCATACAGCCCCAAGGAAATTCGTTCGAAAGCCGGCATCCTGAGGTAACTGAAATATTATAGAATTATGTTGCAGGCTGACTAGTTTTACAACCCTACTTAATTAAGCTTTTCGAACCGACATCGCATTTCGGAATTTCGGTTGACATTTCATGAGTTAGCCCACCTACTGTATATTTTTATACCGTTTTTTTGGCAAACTTCCCCGGCACGACATTTTGTACATCGTGGTAGATTTAAACTCGTCCGTTGTATTATGGTGAGAAATGGCTAAATTGGATATCACAAGGGGAAAACAGGGAATACCTGAAGGTGCATCCTTGTCATTTGCACTCATCGCACCGGAATTCTTCAAAATGCCGTTTAATGTTGCGTAAACATTAGCTGTCTACTTTTTGGATGCGTGAAAAGTAAAGTGTTTCATGGAAATTCCGTTTTTTTCTTACAGGAAACCCTCTTAGAGACTTTTCTTATACAGAAATGGACAGGAAGCAGCGTCCGCCGGAAATTTTTGTAAGTTATATGCCCGTTTATGATCCTGCCTCTCTACCATATGACTCGACGGATTTATGAAGTTTACCTTGGAAACGTACGTAATAATTTGGGATAAACACTTTGTCTTCACGCCTATGTATCTGGATTTAGTATAGCTTGAGCGAAAGGCAAGGCTTATCATTGTGGGGAGTATGACAAAAAACCACCTGCGAACTTTAATTCAAAAACCACTTATCATGAGCCGATTAGACTGGACACAAGAATAGGCAGTCTCTGTATTTCAAGTTGTCGTAGGATGGAAAATACAGGTACCTGGATTCCGATCTCGTTGGGCGTCAGAACTCAGGTCGACAATGGTATATCTGATATGAAATATGACGGAAACCCGACTAGGGTTGAAAGGTATTATTTTCCAATAAGTAGGACGGTGTAGATTTGGTGGGGAGCGTCATAGAGAATTGTGAAATAGAGCGCTAAGTAATTGCGTCACGGCTATCATTGCGGGGAGTATGACTTAAAACTACCTGTGAACTTTCATTCAAAAATTGCGTACCATGTACCGATTAGACTGAATACAGGAATAAGCGACCTCTGTGTTTCAAGTGACCCTAGAATGAGAAACACAGGTATCGGGGTACCTGTTCTTTTGTTCAAACGCCAGTTATACGCGCTTATTCAGTCAACAGAGACTTTGTAATGAAACCCGACAAACCGTGCGCCGAGTTAGGACATTGTTTCCCGAGAAGAGAGAGGGTAAGGGAGAAAATGGCTTATTTGGAAGCTTTAATTCTTACACTAAGCATACACCTGTTGAAATCGCAAAGCAATTTCACGAATTGACAGATAACTTGGTGTGGTATTACTAGTGTGGTGGCGTATTTGATCACCGTTTTGGGATTCCAATCTCGTTGCACGTAAGAAATCCTGTCAATGATGGCGTACCTGATAGTTGATAGTTGATTATATGACAGAAACCCGAGTAGAATTGAAATGAATCATTTCGCAAGATGTAGTGCGGTGCAGATGGGGTGGGTAGCATCATGGAGAATTGTGAGAGAGGACGCTCGCCGATCGCGTCACAGGACCTACTCGTTTTGTTGTGCTTAGGGGTTAGATCTAGAGCCCTGTATGTAGTCCTGCAGCGACTAACGACTAACGACAAGGACAAGCGGAACTAGAGTGCCCATTTCTGGCTTTGGTAGCCGTCATCCGCCGACCATACCCAATCCCAAGTGCTCTGCAACACCGAGGGTCGAACCTGCCTGTGGTTGAGAAGAAGTCCAACGCTTCGACGACTGAGGCACGGGCTCGCTCTGCCGTTCGCGATCAAAAGCGTCAACTATGGTAGAGTGCGCACACCGATCGCCCCACGAGACTTACTCGTTCGTTGCTTTGTCATGTCATTCTTTGAGGGCCATCACCGCCCCGGAAGTGCAACACTGGTTTGCACGCAGCCCTGTCTAACGGATGGGGGACTTGCAAAGCGTCTCGCTTCCATTGACTGGACGCTGTGGGAGGAGACGGAGAAGATTTTGGGCGAAGTGGCCAACGATGTTGAAAAAACGACTGCGCCTGCCTCACACGTTCGGGCCGTAATCGCCCAGGAATCAGAATTCAAGTAGACAGTCCTAGATCTCCCTTTGAAGAGTACTACCGCAGATGTGAGTAGGATGTTGACACCAAGATGTAGCTTTCCTCGCTGGACTCGACTTCATTGCAGTTGTAGTAGAACCTGCTAATTTACCTTCTTGCTTTAGGTTCTCTGGCATTCATGAGCGGCTGATAAGTTTGTCGTCAAAGCAAATTGACAATTCATCATTTCACCTGAATAATGTTTCTTAACAGGTAGATGTGAACCTTTGGTAAACGGTCGTCCATAGAAAATCCGGATTTGTTCTGATGGTCTGGCATTGCGGTGATTGCATTTTTTTTCGGTGATTTGTGTTCCTGTCATTGAATTAGCACGGTGGCTCTGAAGAGTTCTTGGAGGATCTTCATCTCTTCTAGTTTGGCGACTTGAGTGCTGCAATGAGTTTGTTTGCGAACCTGCTGTCTGAGTCGATATTCTCCAATTTGCAAGACCAGGCTTTTGCGCACAGCTCATCTTTGCAGAGGGCATAAGTGTGAACTCTTTTGAACGCTTCAAGTGCATTGGTGTTTTGTCCACCCACCGTTCCATTTACTGTCCTGAAACCTCGGTGTAACTAGCCCCCAAAATCGTAGACTTCTCCTATGCAACAAGAAAGGGGTGATATCGAGCAATGCTACACGATTGTACAAGAAAGACAGAAATGGCTGTTTCTACGTTATCACTCCTAGTCAGTCAGTCAGGCCCGATGATCTATGGTCTGCAAGGCAACCGTCGTTTGTCCGACAGAATGGGCACAGCATCATTGACTTGCGCATGACTTACTTTATGGGGTTATGCAGGCTTGCACCGCATCTGATGCACTCACTTTTCTATCACCTAGCTTATTCCGACATGGGGCGACCGAAGGTGGGCGAGGACGCAGTGGCCAATAAAATTAGACCGCCTGTCTACGCGTGCCACACACGAGCTTGTCCTAACTGCATGTACTTGGCTTCCTCAAAAGCGGATCGGATCTCGCAGGAGTGAGGGCGCCCTAAAGCCGAGTTCAGGAAGAGCCACTGCGGCTTGACTTTCAGTCTTGTGAAAGACCGAGTTACCCTGTCAGTTGGTAGTCTCCCACGCCATGACTCTCGGTGCGTCGTCAGCTTTTGAAGCATTGCCCCAAGGGTGGACTCTTCAGTTTCGACCTCACGCCCCCTGCTATGCGCCATCCGGCTCTCCGAGTCTGTCAGCGAACGAGGTGTGACTTGAACGCCTACGTCTTATGCGTCCTATCGCACGCAGGTGTAGCAGTAGCTAGGACCTTATACGGACTCAGCGCGGTCTGAAAAACGCGTGTCAGCAGTCAGTCTAAGCTGTGTTGCGGAACTGCAAACCAATGGTACAGCCCATTGTGGAAACCAGTGATAACGAATCTCGCACGGATTCGGGAGACGGAGGCGCCTCGAGTTTATTTTTACTAGGACGAAAATTTTCTTCAGACTTAGGCCACTTCACTTTAAGAACAGGTAAAGTATTGCGTTAAGGCTTCTTTTTCACCTGCAGCATGAGGAAGAAAATAGTACCTGCAATGCAGCCCCCAGGGGATCCCCCCACTTACTTTAACCGCGCGCATTCTCTACTCTTCACACCCTGCCTTTAGACATGCTCCTCTTACCTAAAAACGACTAATCTCCGAGCGTCTCTTCGCCTGAATTTTATCACTGTCACAGGCAGCCTCTGTATCCTTGCACTTCGCTTTGGTTGCTGTGGGAGACGGTTTTATTGTTATTCAGATGTTGACAACGAGGGTAGATCGATCGTTAAAGCCGCCTCTTTTTTCATGTCCAAATGTCGGAGCTCATGTTTGGGCCCGTGTTGGAGGGAATTTTCAAAAAAATTTAAAGCGAACCGTCTAAATTTATCCTGTCTCCGCGTGGCAGACGCGAGGTCGTAAGGCTTAACGACTGGAGACACGTTCTGACGTATAGCAGAATGACTGCTATAGCAACGAAGTATATTTCCGCAGGTGCGAATGAAGGCATTGCTCGCCGACTGTACGCGCAAGACTCACGCTGCTCAAGGAATTACTGAATGCAAGCTAGCCGGTTGGTGTGGCTTGTATGGGCTTCCTAATCGAATTGCTTCAGCAGTAGTAGAGTCTCCCAAGTGTTCGTTCACTTTCCTATAATTTCAAAAATCTGTTTCAAAAGCTGACTGCAGACTTTTAGTTCATTCAGTAATTGACGGTTTGAATACGTGAGTTTTCATATAATAATTACCATTTAGGCATTTAGTGTGAATTGTTTCGAATTCTGGGAACCATACACATTTTACTCAGTTCTGCATTGAATGGCTGGGATGGTTCTCAGGGAAAGCCTACACATTTTAATGTGTAGCTTATTCTGAAATGGCACTACCCAGTTGGACGCGCAATTACCAGGCTTTCATTTTGCCATAAAATAACCGCAGAATAACCACGTTATATGCATGGGCTACTAACAGGCAGTTAGTAGCATACACATGTTGTGCTATATGTATATCGCCTTCAGGGGATGAGATGGTACTTCCCAGTTGGACGCGCAATTACCATGTTTTTATCCTGCTGCGAAATAGATATGAAATAACATCAGCAGAGGGCGCCACCTTCATCTGGACCTTCAAGCGCTGGAGCTCGGATCCGAAGGCTGCGTCGACCGTGGCGACTGGCGACATTGTCCACATCTACTCCATCGCTGTTAACAACACCCGAGGGACCGGTGCACTGGACTGCAAGAAGTGTCCTCTGGGCGTCGATGGGCTCCGGTAAGTTGTCAGTTCGGAGGATCATAAAAACTGCCGAATTTTTGAGATAGAATTCAGACTACTTCCAGAATCCTAATTTAGCCGCAGCGGCCTGTCTCATCCAATTTTAAAAGAATTATTTTAAATGCTTTTTGGTAGAACTGAATTACAGTAGATGTGCTAACTCATGAAATGTCAACCGAAATTTCGAAATGCGTTTTCGTTTCGAAAAGATAAATTAAGTAGTGTTGTAAAACTAATCATGACGCATCATAAATCTATAATGATCCAGTTACCTCAGGTTGTCGGCTTTCGAACGAACTTATTTTCGGCTGCATGCAAGATCTATACTCTGCAAAAAATGACTCCTTAAGTATTATGCAATTTTCTCAATGATTTTCGATGCCCATGAAAATTCAATCCTATTTCATGGAAAAAATGCAAAAAATATTCATTATTTTACTTATTCGGCAGAAAATCACGTCTTCTTCCAATTTCATACTTAAAAGAAGATTGTAATTCGGTTTCGAAGAAGTTTCTAATTGTGGGATTTTTTAATACCGTTAAATGGCCGTTTGTGAAACGTCATGTATCTGCATTTACGAATAAGGCTTGTAAAGTTAACAATATTGCTCAAATCCACTGCTTAATTTTATGAACCTCATATGGTCACCTCTTAACATCGTAGAGAAATGCATGGTTGTCCGTACACGGAAAATATACAGCTAGTAGTTTTGAAACCCTGAATGCAAGTGTAACAGCAGGTCGGGTTCAAAATTAACAGAATTATACTCTTCTTTTGAGCATGAAATTGGAAGAAGACGTGATTTTCTGCCGAATAAGTAAAAGAATGAATATTGTTATGCGCTTTTTCCATGAAGTATTATTGAATTTTCAACGGCATCGAAAATCAATGAGAAAATTGCATACTACATATGAAGTCATTTTTTGCAGAGTATAGATCTTGCATGCAGCCGAAAATAAGTTCTTTGGAAAGCCGACACCCTGTGGTAACTGGATCATTATAGATTTATGCTGCATCATGATTAGTTTTACAAGACTACTTAATTTATCTTTTCGAAACGAGAACGCATTTCGAAATTTTGGTTGACATTTCATGAGTTAGCACATCTACTGTATATGACCCCCTGAAACAGGGCATGATAACAGGAGCGCCTGTAATATTGGTGGCTTTGAGCCAACTTCAAGTAAACTTGGGGTTAGTTCCAAGGTTAGAGTTAGGGCTAGGTTACGGATCAGGTTTAAGGCTTGATTTAAAGTTAACGGTAAGTCTGAAGCAAGTTTAGGGCTAGGGTTAACAGCAGAGTTAAAGTTTAGGGCAGGGTGGCGGTCAAGATTGGGGGAACGATTTAGTTTTATATTACGGTTATCGTTGAGGCTAGGATACGAGAATATGTTGTTCATTCCGGAATTACGCGCATGCCCAAGTTTATTACTTGGGCGGGGCGTACATATCCCATATACTGTCAAAGTGGCCACATACGCCAGTCCAACCGTTTTTTTTTCGATTAAAAAGGATTATCTGGGCGTGGCTGTAATGTTGATTATCGTGCAGCATAGTCGCGAGATATTTTAGTGACACTGGAATACCGGCCTTTGTATGAGCTTCTTTCCAATTGCTCGCGAAAATCACACTCAGTATAAAAAGGACTACTTATGTAGAAAGCATTTTACCGAGTGCTTTTCGATTCCCTTTAAATTTGAAAATATTTTGTAGAAAAGCACTCACAAAAATATAATTTTTTGTTCTCAATTTGTAGTAAATTTCGTCTCCAGTTTTCTACTGAAAGAAAAGCCCTCTGCCAATTTTCAATAATCGAGACTTGCTGTTATACTTTCGGTTAAGCTTTCGAAAATACAAGTCGCGCACTTTTAGCTTTAAAAAAATCTCACAATTCTTATTGTTGTGAAGAAGCATTTTTCAATTTTCGCAATGGATGTGGGCCTTGTTTTATAATTCATAAAGTGTATAAATGAACTAACAGGTGCGATGTCCTTTAAATTCGCCTTTCATGATCCTAAAAAGCCTCATACTTGTAATGTTAACTAGAATAATATCCGTTCATTGACTATAAAATATGAAGGAGATGCGCTGTACTCCAAACGAATTTAATATAGGATATTTCCAGAAGGCGACCGAAGAGATATGCATTTAAAAGCCGGCATGCAGGCGTGGCGGTCCGATAATCAGCATTACCACCCCCAGCTGAGTGATACCTTCTAATCGCGGACACATGTAAGAATGTCGGCTAACATTTTATGGGATACGCCACCTAGTATGTTAAGTTCTCAGGTGCGGGAGCTTTCTAAACTGTTGGTGCATTGTCATCCTGGATAATAGCTTCCCGCTGGCTTACTGCAGTTGCCACAGTGCGAGTACTTCCACCTAGTGCAGATCATTAATATTATCAACAGCCCGCTACGCAAACATAGATGGGTCGAGATACTCATTCGGGCCTTCGGGGCTCAAATCTGTACTCATCCAGGGAATAAGTAGGATTCATCAAGGAAAGTTTCAAATTCGCCGTCACACTACATGAAGCAGCGGCGAGAGTTAGGGATCATCAGTGAGTCACCCAGCATTGCTCGTGTACTTTCAGGTACGTACTCCGGTTTTACTATGCTCCTCTTTTTAATTTTATCGAAAATCAATACGCTAACTTGGAGTAAATCCTTCGGAGCGGACCTCTCTAGGTTAGGCCCGAAAGTTAATATGAATACTTGAGCTGGAATCCACCAGTTACTGCGGAATAGCCGTGTACTAGTCACAAGTTGTCAACAGGCAGTCAACAGTCTACACACAATTGGTGATTGGCCAGACTTAAGCTCACTGAACCGAAATTGTTCCTCCACGTCCGTAAAAAGAGAAGACCTGCCGTAAGTCGGCGCAAAACGCCCTTTCAAACTTCCCGTCATTCCACCGTGATTATCTTTTCAATCCCCGTATGCCTGGACAAAGGATCAATTAGCCCCCACGATTACATTCCTATAGAATTCCTACTTATTTGATTAAGGTATGCGTACGGGGTCATACATCTGGGATGCCTGCACGGACCAAATGGGTGGCTGAAAATAAGGAAATTAACGGAAGCGTCCAGATAAGGCATAAACAGAAGCTACAGGCCTCAATTTTCATGGCCTAAAACTGCTAATTGGAATTATAGCAGGGAATAGGAGAAGGGCGAATTCCCGTGACATTGCTAACGGCGTGGATGAGAAGGAACAATGGACGACTTCTCATGATCTGGTAAGTGGCTGGTAGAAAACAAACGAGCGACCGTTCACTGGATTAGAAAGGAATCTAGGGGACAGAGCTAACTCAATGGACAACATGGTCCCCAAGGGTATAGTACGCTCTTCCGACTTTGTCGGCAACAGGGCTCATGGCCTACAGTTTGAAGGCATTCATTAGATTATCAGCCACTGACAGAAAGCAATATCAAGCTACCTAAATCAAATCAGTAGTCACTATATATGAATCTAGTTCTACCGGGGCCACCCCTACTACAATGACCTAAGTTGCTGCTTTGGTGTCTCTGCATAGGTGCAAGCCCTGCGGCCAGGGCTTTTTCTTCGCTCTGGTGAGGAACTCATCAACAAATCTTACGGTCCCCGCCTGTGCGCCCTGTCCAAACGGGTCCATTGTCATTAGCGATGCCACTTCCGCCATGACTGTGGAACAGGCCTGCAAGCCCTGTCCTCCCGGCACTCGACCCGGTTCCGCATCCTTCTGTGTGACGGATTTAAACCCTGTTTCTCCCAAAGGCCAGTCGTACAAGTTAAAAAACCTCATGACGTGAGTGATTGCTAGTTGTTTCATTTTTTAAATCACTAGATTGTGCGGGGGTGGGGATTAATTTACGGGAAATTACTCAACCGAATCAAAAGAACTGTATGGGCCTCTAGAAATTCGTTTTAATCCTAAACAAAACTTTATTTTCTGTCAAAAAATCAAGAGGCATGCACTGGAAGGGGCCCTTTTTTAGGTTTGGCGTTTCGATTAGTGATTTCGTGTATCATTCTTCAGAGATTTGTGATTCCCGTATGAAAAGCTCTCATTTTATGGCTATTTTCCTTAGTTCGTACGTCACCAATGCAAACCGTAAAGGTGGATCAGACCCGGTTTCACCATTAACTAGGTCGTTCCTCACCCCTTCATCACGGACCGAAGCGATGATTGCCGGTCCCGATTACTTCAAGCCTTCATTGTCTCCTGTCGAGTAAGTTGGCAAAACCAGATAGGGGGAGATAGGCTTTATGCAAGAGTCGACTGAGTAATTGGTGGAAGTCCAGGCTTAGTGCACCTGTTTAATTTGGAGGTATGAATAATGATACTTACTTACTTACTTGACACTTGATACGGCTGCGATCATGACTGGTCTAGCAAGCCTCGATTATGTCACGAACTGCACCTCTCCACGCGTGACGATCCGCGGCAGCAGATCTAGACAGCTTAACCCATTCTCTTCGCCAACGACTGAGACTGAGTACTGAAGGTCTGAGAAACACCTCCATGTCTTGACGAACTGTATTCTGGCCAGGTTTTGAACTGACCTCCTCTTCGACGCCTCCAGTGGGGTAACGGTGCCAGATTGAGGGCAGTAACACTGAGCTCCTGAGGTGGACCACGAAGAACATGTCCGAACCACCTCAATCGTCTTTCTTGGATGGCCTGGTTTATCCTCGCGATGTTGTCGCAGCGAGCGCGGACTGTCTCATTTGAGACGAAGTCGGTGAAATTCACTGGACGGATGGTTCTCAAGCAGTGGTGATCAAATACCTCCAGTGTTCCTTCGTCCTCCACGCGCAAAGCCCAGCATTCACAACCGAATAGAAGGACAGACCGGACAGATGAATGATGCAAGCGAACCTTATTGTCGATTGAGAGGTTGCGTCGGATGCATAGACGTTTATGTAGGCTTGAGAAAACCTGGCGGGCAGCATCAATTCGGGAGAGAATGCAATGTTTACTCTGTCCATTAGACAGCAGCCTCGTCCCGAGGTATGTAAAACTGTCTACTTCCTGACAGCGATCAATCCCAAGGGGTGCCCTCTCCTGATCAGGGATGCAGACTGAAAACACTTTGGTCTTCCCGGGCTTAGATAACTGCAGATACAGACAGGGCGCACGACTAGATTCCCACGCAGAACGAGGCCAGCATATTCCGAAGAGCAACCTAGCCGGTTAACTGCCCTCCATCGTTAATTGTCCGACTGTGTTTATTCACGTTGACTGTCAATGTCAGCAAAAGTCAGTCCTCGTAGCTCACAGCTCACCAGTTCCGAACTCATTCCGACCCGGGTGGAAGGAGGCCTTAAAGCTTCGACCTCGCAACTTCCAAAAGTGACTTTAGTAAGTTGGCATTTAGGCTAATTTTAATAATTGACTGTAGGCCTTTCCTTAACGACTGAACGATTCTAATTTTTGCGGTTGTATCGAACCGGGCAAGTGCAAGTCAACTCCTGCTAGTCCGCGCTTCACTCTGTTACCTTTCCTGTTGTTGCTCGTTAATGGAATGAGTCATCCTTTATGGGAATTCAGGAACAGCCCGGCATGTCAAATAACTGAGTAAATTATAACGAACAAGCGTGAAGTGACTGCGTAGGTGGGCCCCTCAGCTTCACTGCGCAAGGCAAAGTGAGCTTCCTCTTCTGTCCCGATGCGACGAAAGATGTGGGTGCCGAGTCTCAAGGGCAGCACCTCTACCCACTGATCGAAAAAGCCGTCTCTGTGTGCCTTTAAATCCTTTTCGTGTGCGCTCGCGGGTTAGTATGCCTAGGTTTGCCTGATTTCACCCTTTATTATCTTGTTCTCTCAAAGCCGTAGTCACTAGACAATCATTTATCCTTTGGTTTTTTGCTTTTCATAGTGAGACTAGTGTGAAGGGCGCTCGTCTGTTCACCTCGCAAGGGAACGCGTACATTCACAACTTTAAGTTTAACCTGAATACCGGAGACATGCGCAATAGGGTTCATTGCATCAATGACGATAACCCCTACGTGAGTTTGAGTTTACTAGAACAGATCTTGCCAATTTGGTTTATATTTATGTATGAATGCATATAGTTTTATGCACAAAAACTCAATATAAAACACCTTGTTGGTCTCCTGAAACACTGCTTTGAAACCTTTTTACCTTCGATGTTTACGAACTAGTCAATGGCACACCGATGGGGTCGCCGCTATCCAGCTTGATCGCTGAGGCAATGTTACTGCGATTGGAGGCACTGGTTTGTTGCTTCGTTTAATTTCCGAGGAAATTAATGCGCGAACTTGGAGTAAATTTTTCGGAACAGACCATTTCAGGCACGGCCCAAAATTTGATATGAAGATTTGACCTGAACTCCGTCAGTTACTGCGGAAAAACCTCGGGATACTCACAAACCACCAACAGACAATCAGTAGTATAGAATTTTGTAATTATTTACCGCACCAAAAACACAGGTATTAGCTAATGACGGCGTTGTTAGTACGGTAAATAATTGCACTGGTTCTTGACCACTATCGGCCACGACTGTAGGTACGGTATGTCGATGACACATTTGCCATCATCAATCGGGATAAGATTGGGGAATTCACGCAACACCTCAACTCGATCTTCCCAGATATTCAATTCATAATGGAGGAAGAAAAAGATTGTCAGTCGCTGTTTCTCGACGTATTAGTCTAGAGAAAAGACGATGCGATATTAAAAACAACGGTTTACCGGAAGCCGACCAATTCCTATGGCAACCACCCCCTTTCACACAAACGCAAATGTGTGCGAACACTTGACCGGCGTGTAGAAACCCATTACAGCGAACCAGCCGACAAGAAGGCCGTTGTCCAGTTCCTGCGGAAGCTCTTCACAATTAACGGCTACCCTGGGAATTTTGTCGAAAAGTACAGGCAAGAAACCCGAGGAAGAAAACCAAAGAGATGACCAAAACCAGAATTCTGTCGCGCTGTATTGTTCATAGTTGTTGTGTCAGTAGAATTAAGTGGACTGATGAGCCAATTTAGGATTGGTGTCGCTCACAGACCTGAAGCAACAACCCGCCTGCAACTCATGCACTCTAAGGACCCAATTCCCATCACTCAGGAATTGGGGGTCATTTACCGGATGCATTGCATGTGCGGTCGATCAGTTTTGTTTCTGAAACAGGTTCGCACGAGATTGCACGAGCACTAGTCGGATGTGAGATGGAAGGATGAACTCTCCTTGATCGCCGCCCACACCACCAGCAAGTGGCGGTCAGAACCCCGACGTGCGGCCGACTCTGGGCCCGCGAGCGCACCCGTTCGCTCGGGTAATGTGGAGTGAATGAATAAGTTTCGCATGAGATTTCCCTCCAACAAGCCACGCGATAGATCTGCTGGACCAACACGGAGACTAGATCGGAATCCGGTAGGCGTTACTGGGAATGTGCACCCATGAGAAACGTCAACATTGGGGTATGGTGGTCCGCCAATGTACAGGTCCATGCCGCGCCAACTGGTATCCGGGCAGCCGCTCTTCTGTCGTGTCGTTTAAAATCCTGTTCAGTGTACTGTAAACCAGGAGGTGTGGTGGTTCGCCTAGGTGCGGGTTTTTGCCGTGCCTCTCACCTGCGTTCTCTCCCACCTCCGGTCTTCCGGTGGGGAGGTGAAACAAGAAATACAGTGGGTGCTGCACAAGTCTGCTATCACTACAAACTAATTCACGCACGATTCCTTGAATGGTGTAGTTGCCCCGGATGGAAGGCCTGATGTGTCGCACCTTTTCTTATCAGTTAATCAGCCTTTAGGTCTCAGAGAAACGCCACAAATGTGCGCTGGAACATGGTGTTATCTTGTTTTTGACTTTACGGTGGAAAATTAAAAAGGTCGAAATAAGTCTAATAAAGCTCTATAACGAGCCACGGTCGAATTTAAACCCATCGTGCTCATCTTTTTAATGCCATAGGTGAGAGATAACTGAAGTTTTTTAAAGTGCTTGACATTCCAAACATTTATTTTGTGGATGTCGAGAGTTTTGTTCGAAATGGTGATGAAAAATCGAAAGAATATGATCGGGTCATAATAAAAGATAGTGATCGTGCCCATGAGAAGACTGTTTAGATGAGCGTGATGAAAAAAAAGTGACACAGAAAATCGTCCATTAATTTAGCTCCCCTTCCTGGATTGAATTATTTTCTATACAGCGTATAAACTTTCGATGAAGTCTAATGCCATCCGAATGTAGAAACCTCCTAAGGACCCGCCTGTGAAGCACTAAACATGCTTTTGCCAAGATAAGGAAGGTTTGTAGGCAATTACTGGACTTTTTTGACAAAGGCAACTTTCTTCTTCATTTGTTCGTGTTCAGTAGGGTATTCATGGTATATATTTACGTTGTCACACTGCAAGTAAATTTTCTTTTCTCCTTTTAGCGGAATGTGACATCTTGGGTGTGCAAAGAGACACTCATTCCAAAACCGCACAGCGGTAAGGAAAATGAAACCTTCCTCCGAATATCTCCACTCAGGTAAGTGAGGATCTTCGAGCAATTTGAATCCAGACAGGGCGCAAGTGGTGATTACGCTGTGAGTAGGATGGGTATTAGGCATGAAACTGTTCTCTACTTCTCTCCACCCTCTCTCCCTCCATCTAGTTGCTTCCTAACGAAAAATTAAGACTTCCTATTCCCCAAAGTATGCTTCTACATTGTGAGACTCCTGCGAACATACGCAATCCTTCATGTTTTAATTGTTGATTCAGGATTACTGATGCGAAATAAATCATTCAAAGTGGAAATTAGGTGTAATTTGGCGATAACTATACTCGATGCAGGCAGACATAAGCAAACAGTTTGTTATAGTACGTACTTGTAATAAGTAGCCATTATTTTTCAATTTCAAAAAAAGAAATCAGTCGTATCGAGTTACCTGGAGCCGTCTGGCGGCCTGTGAATTTCTAATTTGCTTTACTCTCAAGGCAAGTATAATGCATTTTATATTACGTTGGCGTGGAACTCACATTTACCTACTTAACAACATAAAATAACTATCACTTGACACGAACGGTCGCATAAACGGATTATCCGATTGTCGATAAATCTCCTTGTCTATTTCCTACATTCACTTCACCCACCTAATGACAATTTGCGTCAAGCGTGCCACTGCCGTTGTGTATTTTCAAATAATACATAAATACTGGCTTGCTCTCTTTCGACAGCTTAACATTCATGTTGCGAAGAATATAAAGAGGCGCACAAGTGTTTGAAAACAAACTAACATCTGCTACACACTGCATGTAAGGCCAGGAACGCATGCCAACTTCTCTAAGCAAAGTCATCAGCAACTTTTAGTATTGAAGATTACTTTTTTTGCGCAGGTTTTCTCAAAACTATACTTGAGTTGTAAATATATCGAAAATCAATTGGAAAAACTCATGCTGCTTAAGTAGCCATTTTTACAGAATCTAGTGTTTACTAGCTCGTTCAAAAGCCGGAACTCTGCCATGGCCGAAATATCTTGTGATTAAGCTCTGATATAGTTAATCTTACGGCCTTACTTAGGCAATCTTCTTTAATCGAAGATACATTTCAGAATTTCGGTAAGCATTTCATGACATGGTGCACCTACTATAGACTTCGGTGTCGCGTTCTCCACCTATTCTGTCACCTTTCATCACATCGATAAGGCGGACTTCGACCTTACAAATTAGGGCAAAAAGCAGAGGTCTAATACGCCAATTTGAACATTTCGGGAGCATCCATTCGCTCGCTATTTGCGGACGGATCTGTTCACAGATGAGTGAAAGATTTGCCTGTAGGCAAAATTGGGCACATTACGCAATCGTAAGGCAACCAGTCATATTCGATCGCTGTGCAGTACACCGTTTTTGCATGCAAGCAACCATCTCATCCGCACGCCCCCAAACTTTCTAGCGCGATAATCGCACCCGGTCCAGACCCCTGTTTTGCTATTGTTTCTACGGCCTCACAATGCACCTCCAAAGGGTCATCAAACCTTGGATTATAAGTAAACGTTCACGACCCTCCAAGCTACTTTAACCTAGAGAAGGGAGCTGATGAGACATTCTGTCTACTGCTTCCGTGCGCGATGTAAGGAGGGACCTGAAATCGTTAGTTTTGTCATCAGAGTCACGGAAAGTCGGACTTCAGTGCTGGAAGCACCCAGCCGCCCACAGAGCAATATTGCTGCTTTAAGCAAAGAAAAAACTCACTCGCCGTGTGCCACTTTAAGCCTATGGATGCATTCGGTTTGTGCGATTTTATTATTCTTTGCATTTCACCAGCAAAATTTACGTATATGTTATCTTCTGTAAACTAAAACATGTTGCGATCTCTCTCAAGCACCTGCTTTGTAATCTGATAATGGACTAAAATCATAAAAAGCTGCATCATCTGCCTGCGCAAACTAGGCACCCATCCGGACCGAGTGCTCCAGCTCAAACATTACTGTTATGCGCATGCCAGTACGCTTTACGATGACCTTCGACCGCAGAACAGGTCCATCCTCTTACTTCCTAATAAGCGACACGCAACGATATCACTCTAGTTTTTGTCCCCAGGGGTCCACCCATTGCGGTACTGCGACGCAGTCTTAAGTCAATCGACAGTCGAGTCCCAGACTAAGTCCACTGACTATTTCCCCTCGTTTATCGGGGTGCGACTCCTGTTTGTCGCATTCGTTTCGTATAACAGCAGGGTTGGCATTGGCAAGCCTAAAATAACTGAGTAAACTCCGGGTTTTAGGAAAACTTGTTTTTTTATTCTTTTTCGATACCTACCTATCGCTTATATGACGATTATTTGGCAAATTTAGTATCGGAGATACGTTGGTATCGGCCAAACCTACATCCTACTCTCCGGACCACGCGCGGACCATAAACGAGAAGCTAAGAAAGGCCGGGTGGAGTGCCGATGGTAAGGGTCCTGATTTTCTTTGTTGAACATACCGATCGGACATTCGCAAGGGACTTATTTGAATTCGTCCCCCAAATGTATATATGTATATATAGTTGGGGGGAATACGGCGTAGTCTGTGGGAGGGGGTCGATTGATACACATCCGTATCGGACTTCTTTGCCGTCAATTAGTAATTTATAGCACCTACTGCCAGCAGGGACCGGAGGCATAAACATGCTAATCGACGCACTTAGCGCAAGTGGTACTAGATAGTTAACATAGGCGAAGAAGCGAACTGGACCAATTGTCGCACATGCGGCGAATCTTAGCAGCGGCCAATTTTAATAGGTTCAACATGACATAGCAAGTGTATCCTACAGATACTTCGACCCCTTGGTCAAACAGCATCCTTCTTGGTTGTTGTCTCTGATTCGATTGAGAATCCGAGATGTCAGACGAATAAAGCTCCCTTGTTTTTGTCGATAATATCATTCTACGAATAAAGCCGTTGTTTTGGTAATCGGGTCTCCTTTCCAACTGACTCGGTCAATTGTCCAACTTTTGTCGTACTCGATTTCATTGTTTCTGCAACTGACAACCTCCAGTTCCGCGGATGTGGTTTTAGGCGACGCTGTGAGCATGCCAACCGAGAGTATCTGACTTTATGGAAGAGCAGAAAACTGAATCACAATACTGTGAAGGTTCACGTTCGTGGTACCGTCCCGTATGCAGAACGCCGCATGAACGCTGAAGGCGATGCTATAGCCCCCTACATTAAAGTAGTATAACCATCCCCAAAACACTAAGACCAAGGACACCAATCTCACGGATCGGGCGCGAGTAGGCACTTTTTTGAATGGGGCGAATCAAAATCCCATAACACATCTGTAACTAACAATGTACGCAAAAGTCGTATTGCCGTGCAATCCATGCTTAAATTTCAAAAAAATCCAGACTCTGGAGACTGCGGAGAACGAACTCACTGGGACTGGCAAGCAGCTGTGTGCCCCCTAGCGACGAAACAAAAGTTGTAACGAATGACTAGTTCAATGACATTTGAAAACACCATGCGTTCATCCAATGACGGGACGTTCGCAAAAAGTAAAATTATGGAGAATAGCAGTAAATAAATGATGCATACGTCTAAGCACACGTAGATGAATAAGATATACGGTTTTATTATGCGTATGTATGCTTGAATGTCAAGTCAATTATTCCAGAAATTATTAAATGTAGGGTATGGATTTAAGTTCCGCCCAAAAGGTCATGTCTCGGCCAATTAACACAATGTCAGGCACTTTATATTTTCTAAAATTACTGTCGTAATTATTTTCTGGAGTTTATTTGCCCGAAACCGCTAGGGAACGCTGGGGTTCCCACTGAGGAGCCGAACTCTCCGCAGCTGGATAATGCAGCAGCAGAAACATCGGCGAAACACGTGTCTGGGCTTTTAGCTAGTACCTATGTCTGGAGTGCGTATAGCACCTTCGCTATATAAATATGTAAATGTAAAATGTAAATGTAAAATACACGAAATATAAAGGCGCAAATGCATAAAACTGCACACGTTCAAGCGAAGTTGTAAGAAATGGCAGGTCTCAAGGTCAGCTATGCTAATTCTCTGAAATTCATTTGCGTGAAGCCGCATTGAGAACCCTGGGGAGCCCACTGAAGAGCCAAACTCCCTCCCCTCCGAAGCTGCATCATGCAACAACAGAAACACCGGTGAAGCACAAGACTGGGCATTCAGCTAGTACCTGTGTAGAGAGTATTAAAATACCTTCGTTCCATATATACGTAGCAGGTTGCGAGTTTGAGCCTGGAGTATTCCACATTTGGGGGTTGGGTATGGCTGGCTGACGACGGCTAACAAGCCATAAATGGCCATTCCAGTCTCCCTTGTCTTTGTCGGTAATATCATTCTGCCTATATATCATGCGTCGCTGTGCGGCTGCTGGTTGGGCTTGAGAGAGAGCCCTTAAGGCACAACGGAACGAGTGAGTTCCGTATGAACGATCGGTGAGCGCCCCCTAACATTGTATATTCCCGATCGAAAACCGACAGGGCAACGGGCTCGTGGCCCGGTGAGTAGAGGCGCTGACTTCTAAACCAACAGGTCGCGAGTTCGAGGCTCGGGTGTTCAACACTTCGGGCTTGGGTATGGCTGGCTGACGACGGCTAACAGGCCAGAAATGGCCATTCCAGTCTCCCTTGTCTTTGTTGACAATAACATTTTGCCTATATCATGCACCGCTGCGTGGCTGCTGATTGGACTCGAGAACGAGCCCGTAAGGCACAACGGAACGAATGAGTTGCATATGAACTATCGGTGAGCGCCCCTCTGCCATTACTTACGTAACTACAAAATACAATAAAGAAATCAGACTCAGATGCAGCTAGACCTTGCCATGATCATCATCATGTTATGTGAAACCTCAGTTTCAAATGGGATGCCTAAAGTGACCTTAGCAGCCCGCACTATGAAGAAGTTTCCAAAGAACTATATAGGCGATATCGACCCAACCTTCCACAATACCATCGACAATATCGTCTTCTGTTGAGACGGATACCAGAAACTTTCCTATCACACTACTGAGACCGAGTATTGCGCATAGTCATACGAGGCGCAACTGTGACATCGATTCAAAGGTCCAAGCAAAGGAAGTGTCTGCGAGGGAGATAATGTCGCGCCGGGGAACGCATGGGCGACGACGTCAATTAGATGTGTGCAAAAGAAATGCTCTTGGGAATGCTTGAGCAATAGTTGTCCTACCCCCTAACCCTAACCACTAACTGTAACCCCTAATCTCAAACCCTGACCCTTACCTTTAACCCCAACCCCTTACCACAACCCGTAACCATAACCCTTAACCCCAACCACAACAGAATTGTGTCCATCAGGTGGGGCTGCCAAACCACATCTTGAGAGTGTGGCGGTCAAGGATGTAAGATCAACTGTAACCGCACACAATAATTGCGTTCTGTCTAATGTCAGAAGTCAGGGAACTGGGGAAAACAGGTTTATTCTCTACATGGGACAAATTGCCGTGAGCTGGCTGTTTGCTTGTGTCGGAGCCAAGCGTCCGTTCGGGGGGGGGGCGTCAGCCGAGGTGAGCATGTCCGTGTCAGCAGGTAGGAGCGACTGGCCGAGTTTTGGTCATGGTGAAAGTTTTTAAGGATAGCCGTGAGTCATCGACCTACAAAACGGCACTGGAGAAGGGGCACTGAAGCGGCTGTTACAAGAGTAAAATATGCTTTCGATGTCAGGCTTTTGAGATAGTCCGTAATTTTGACAGTAAACTGCAGAACTTCACTCGGTCTCCTCTAACCGGGTTTTCGCTTAGTCCTATTTTGAGCCACGCTGTGTGTTATGTAAGCACACTTTGCCGATATGATTAAAAGATGGGATATGTTCGTTCTAAGCCTTCTGCTTCTTTTGAGTTAAACCTCATGATTATTGATTGTTCTCCCCTGTCCTTGAGCTTCAAGATGAGACGTAACGCCCACACCACCTCCGGCATTCAGGACACTGTTTTGCGCCGTTTTTCCTGTGAATGTTGCATAATTTCGTGTAGAGAAACTAGACTGTTTCTCCGACTACTAAGTCTGCACTTTGATCTTCCTTTACTTTGCCGTCAGTGTTGTCTTACTGTTTGCTTTTAAATATTTCATGCCATCCAATTTTTTTTATTTCGTTCCAGAAAGCGGAAACGACCTTCACTACTACTTCGATTCAAAAACGTAAGTAATTTCTAAGTAAGAGATTTCAAAGTTTTAATTAAAATCGTTGAGTGATTAAAAACAGCTTACACCTCAAATTATAGGATCTGTGCCGGTCAGACGGTCGATGGCATTACGTCTGTGTTTTTACTCCTAAACGGAACTATTTCTGCATGCGTTGTTACTAAAAAAGAGGAAGAGTCGAGGGTCAGTTAAACATTGGCAAGAGCATAGTGCTAAATTATCATTTCTAAGGGTTTGCCATTAGAGTTTTAATTGTGTGCTTTTGATTTGTGCAAAATGTGGCCAGAAATGGATACACCAAAGGGATACAAATCATTTCGAGTTCCAGAGGGGAGGGCTTTCTACAAGAAGGCCGGCCCAGTACGGCTATCTACCGCATATACACTTGATTGGCGAACTGTTTGACCAATAAGAATCGAGTTCCTACGTTGGTATCGCCAAGTGTTGGATAACAGTTACTTTTTCAATTTGAGGTGTTGAAGGCCAGGAGCCGACGGTTGATGATGAATCAGATGCCTTGCAAAAAACCAAGTGGATGGAAGACTCTCAGAGAAAATATGAAGAGATATATTTACTGGAAGATTTTGACATAATTACAAAAACCATTGGATTTGGGTCCCAAATGTTATAAAAGCTCATAACGTCGGGGAAAGTCTAGTTGAAGGCGAGTCCCCAGAATCGGGAGTAGGATAGCTGACGCCGTCGACTGGGTGGGCATGGGCTATTCGTTGGTCTATAATTGATTCTTGATCATATATTTGAACTTCCGAAGTCGAGACATCATTTAGTCCGATCTGTTTTTGCAGTGAAAAGTACTGATGAAGATCCGAGAGAAGCGGATGATTTAGTTTTCTATCAGACAGTATCTAAGCCTACATGTTGTGGCTAGCAATTATATAAGAATACGCTTAAATTTGCAGGTTTAATGATGTAATTAGCATAATTTATGAGCGGTCGTGGTCATTTAAATTATGCTGTATGCGAAAGAAGAAAAATCTCATACGCGCCTGTGTGGCTAGGGGTTGCAAGGGTTATGTTTCCTTGCAGACCACGCCAGTTGCGGACGTTCGTAGGTGACGGTTGAGTGCATACACACGATTACAAATAATGGACCCCTAAGTGAACAGCGTTAAGTTGGTGAAAATATGGTGAACACCGCGCTTTTTAAACTCATCAAACACATAGACTAACTTGCTTACTAATATATGGGTCGATTCAGTCATTGAGGGAATTATAGGCGCGGGCCATTAAGCGCCCCCTTTCCCAGGGTCGTATGAGGAAAACTGAGCATTTTGAAAAAAATTAATGGAAGGTCCGTACAATGCTACCCGCAGATTCCAAGGAAAGGTTTTCACTTCTCGGCAGAAGGGGATTACCGACAAAAAACCGGGGAGACTATGATGAGCGTTTCCGACTTATTAGCCGTCGCCAGCCAGCCGTACCCAGATTCAGACGTGCAGCATCTGAGCCGCGGTCCTACGCTCTTTGGTTGTTGAGTTTTATTCGGTCCATTGAGCCCGTTGGCCTGTCGGTTGCGATAAGGAGCAGTAACTATGCTGGGAATGTGCTCATCGACCTGCTGTGGTCTTTCATGTCCCTCCTGAATCAAAGTTTACTTTAAGGTTTCCTGCGGATAATGAGGTCATAACATCTGCAAGCAAGGCATCCCACCATTCTGCTAAAGAATCCAGCCTTCCACACATCTTGCCTGTTGTCTGTTGAAGGCAAGTTTTAGTGGGTGGTTGGTTGATGACCAAATTGCAGGCCACAGTACAGAATGCTTGGGAAAGAGGGTAGGGCGCGGGAATAGATAAATCCTCCGGTAGTAGAGGTAGCCTTACGCAGAATTCCTGGATAGGTGAATATTCCCCTGTCCCAGTCCTAGCGCTATGCCTATACCTAAGTTCATCCCTAAACTCAACTACAGTCCTAACTGTAACACTGACCCTAACTGCTCTAGGAAGTATGGAAGGTATATTTGCTGAATATGAGCCGCAAAACCCAACGCTTTACTCATTCTTCCAGCCCATTTGGGTTGCTCTGCCAACCATTTTAATCGGTACCGCTGTTGGTAGGGGGTCGGTTACGCTGTCCTGGCCCCAAGTGTAAGCACAATGTGGGCATTGCAAGTAAAGTGCGCCGAAGGAGGATGTTGAAATCGATAGTGGGAAAGTAGCTAAAGATAAAACGGAAACGGGAAACCTGGTGTTTAGATTTAAAGGTAGGGTTAACTTTAGGGTTCAATTTAATGTGAGAATGAAAATCAAGTTTAGGGTTAGGATTTGTGTAAGTTTAAGGTTTCCGGTTTGAATTAGGGTTTGGTTTTGTGATTAAGGTTATTGTTAGGGTTCGGGTAGGGTTACGGTTAACGTTAGGGTTAGGATTCGGATCAGGGCTAAGATTAGGCTTACGGTTGGGACTAGGGTCTGTGAGAGGTTTCGGGTTAACGTTAGGTTACTAATTACGTTAAAGATTAGGTTTACTTCTGAGGTTACGGTTAGCTGTACCGTTAGGTTTGGATTATTGCCGCCCCACGTTTCCTGTCAACCAGGTCTTTTGCGGGGATTATAGGCTTTATTCAATCTCGCGACAGATTTGTCGTACGTCAGGTTACCCTTCCCGTTCTAGCCTTGGCTTCTTTCCCCAATAAAGACTTCAGCATTCCAATTCGGTTTACTTTACTTTCGACGTTCGCATTGTGCTTCCACTTGGCACCAGGACAACGTACTTGCCGCGCTGTGTACTACACCCAAGCATTGTTGTTTCGCAGTTTACCTGTCCCAAAGTGATTTACAAAGCTGTAGTATACATTTAGATCACCGACAGCTCTTTCTTCAGCCATGGTAGCAATTGATTCAGACAAACCCTCAGTGACTGGACGTAACTGGACGTCTCAATAGACGTTTCTTTGGTTTTATGCAGGATACTATTTGAGACTATTAGAATCTTGTGCAGAATGTTTTCTTTGTTTTTAAATGCCACTGCCAACCTTACGTACGTTTGCGAACCTCGAAATTACGTCCTTCTTCCCCTCCAAGCCTCCATTGGGTCGATGGAGCGGTTAGCCGAGGTAAATTGTACGGATAAAGCTTAGGAGATGGCCGTTGATATGAGAGGAAGAGAGAGAGAGCCCATGCTGACTGCGATTTTGCTTTGCCGTTGTTGAACCGGCTCCCGTTCCCTCTAAAACCTATGCTGTTTTCCTCGTACTGAAGCTGGGTTCAACAGGTGGTGTCCGCTAACGGAAACGCTGGTCCGCGATCTAGGCTGGGATCTGTGTTTAGTGTGTCGATCGGCAGTCTCTTGCTGCCGTATGGCAAACAGCTGGCACTGCCGATTCCGGTTTGACCTCCAGATTGATGTTTGCTGTAACTCTATATCACGTCGACAAGCTAGTTAGGATCTTTGTTGGATTAGTCGCATAGAAACATGGGGGACGTTCTAAAAACATCCATACTGGGGGTCATTTCTTAAAATGCCAATACTCTTCAAACAACAAGCAAATTAAGCATGTGTGTGCACAAGCCAAAACAGAGGATAATTGCGGATCGCATCATCATCATCATCATCATCATCATCATCATCATCATCATCATCATCATCATCATCATCATCATCATCATCATCATCATCATCATCATCATCATCATCATCATCATCATCATCATCATCATCATCATCATCATCATCATCACGCGGGGAGCGCCCTGGTGAACACTCTTCCCAACATTCGGGTCAGCGCGTCAGATGGTAGAGCAATCATCACACCAACATCCAACGCACGTGATGAAATTGCAGCGATTAACGACGCGAATATCGGCCATCACGCCACGTGCAACGATCCCTGATGAAGGGGAGGGAGCCGTGAACATTCATAGGTATGCGGTGGCATGGCTACTGCATCCTATAAATACTGCATCTGCATGTGCATGAACCACCCTTATCTGCTTATGTCTCTGATGATGGATTCGAGCAGGAATCCGAAACGTCAGGCTAAAAAGCATCATCATCATCATCCCCCCCCCATCAACATCACCACCACCATCATCACCATCGTCATCATCTTCTTCTTATTCTTCTTCTCCTTCTCCTCCCTCCTCCGCCTCCTCCCAAAAAGGCTAGTTTGGGCCACAAGTCAGCCGAAACAGGATCTACCGCGCAATGAACGAGATCCGGCTCTAAAGCTAGTTGTTTGTTTGGTATAAGCACTGAGCTTTAAAGTCTGTGACTCGCCTGGCTTCTGAAGATCCTTAGATGTGGAAAGACATAGCCTAGAAGGTGAATGAGTAAGGTCATTGATTGGAGTAAACTTTCTGCTCTGAAGCCGCACACATCAATTGCCAGGGAATGTTAGACATAAAGGCTAATATTCCATACTAAAGCTTGTGCAAGTTGGGCAGTCGCATCCGGAAAACGGACATTTCGAGACGGGGTCAAACGTCGACTGGAGGCGGGCTGCGGCCTGGTGCTTGAAGCGGGAACCAGCTCGCGAGTGGTACGTGTAGAAGGACCTCTCGACTTTGTTCACTCGTTTCCGGTGGTCTTGACTTTGTCTGACCACGGAACTAAGGTGAATGATTGAGAATAGAGTGCAGTACTTGCGACAAAAGTCTGCATCATAAAAAAATTAGTCCCTAAAACACTGATGCGTCCACACCTGGCTAGGCAATTTCGAGCCTCGTTGTTCACGACAGTCGAAATATCGGATGAGCTCCTCTGTTCGCGTAGTTATTGGTTACCGTATCCGAAATTGACGGCAGAAATTAAACGGAGTTCAGTCGTTCAACCAAAAAGCCGGTGCTTCCGTGTGCATTTAATGCAGTCAACCATCGTACTAGAAGACAGCATTTCTGGCAAGTATGCGGAAGATGGTGACGTCAATTAAGAAAACTGCCTAATGACCTCATACACCGCATTTCGGTAACAATCGGGAAAGGACACCCAAATATCCGTTGCCTAGAAATCCTACCTGCTATACTTATTTGAGTAGGTGGCTAAGTCTACCCTTGCATACTTTAGTAGAGTTGAGAAACGATCGCTGTAGAGCTATCATTGGTTTGCCATCCTTCACATATGCTTGCTTAGGCCACGAGCGATGACATTAGTCCGTTTGAGGCTTACTTTAGAACAGCATACCTTAGGAAAGTTGGGTAATGATCGCTTTAGACCAATCCTATGTTTACCAACCTTGGCATTAGCTTCCTCAGCTGAAGAGCGAGCGCAGTAGTCGGTATGCGGCTTAGTCCATGGTAGCATACGTCCAAACATTTGCGATACGATCGCTGTGGACCGGCCCTTTGGCTTATCCATTGTAGCTATTTCTTCCTTAGGTGAGGAATGACCGCAGTTGTAGGTACGCGGCTCATTCTATGGCACCATACCCTTTGGACAGTTGCAAAACGATCGCCGTAGACCCATCTTACTTTAAACAACCTTAATATAAGCTTCCACTGCTGAAAAGCGACCGCAGTAGTCCCTATGCGGACTATTCTATAGTAACTTACCTACGGACAATTGCAATACGATCGCCGGTGCCCGAGCACTTGGATTATCCATTTTTACCATTACTTCCAGAGGTCAGGAGCTACCGCAGTCGCCTGTGCGCGGCTCAGTCAATGGCTGCATAGCTTAGGGCAGTTGCGATAGGAGCGCTGCTTTGGCCAGCAGTATTTTTTTGGCTGCCCTCTCCCGATTGTTACCCCGGCGCCCAAAAGGTTCAACCTACAAATGAAATAGGCTGCACCTCCGTCTGTAAAATACGACCGTCGTTGCCGATGATATCCACCGCTTACTTCACAATAAGATAAGAGCAAGTACGGTGATTGGCGCGTGAATTAAATTGTAATGATAATAAGCTTGCACAGCACCTTCCTCACTCTCTCATTTTTCCCCCACCTGGGCTGGTGTAAAGGCTGAGTCAAGAAAACCGGAGGCGGGGGAGGGCACAGGTGGCTGGCGCGACGAAAACCCGCACCTAGGCCTACCACCACACCTCTGGTCCCTAATAAACACTTGACTAGGTTTTTAAATTACAACAAATAGGGGGCGGCTGAATGGGTCCCGATCGGCGTGGCGTGAGCCGACACTTGGGTGTGCCGCCACACCCCAAGGTTGGTATTTGATGTACGCACAGCAGCTAGCCTAAGTCATGAAATGTGCACCGAAATGCGTTTACACTTCGAAAAGATTAATTAAGTAGGGTTGTAAACTAACTAGTTTGCGGCATAATTCTATAATAATTCAGTTACCTCAGGATGCTGGCTATCGAATGAACTGCCTTCCGGCTGCATGCAAAATGTACGCTCTGTAAAAAATGACTACTTAAGTAGCTTGAATTTTTTCCTCCTTGATTTTCGATGCCCCTAAATGTCCAATTATATTTCATGGAAAACATGCATAAAAATATTCATTCTTTCCCTCATTCGGTAAACAATTACGTCTTCTTCCAATTTTACGCTCGCAAAAAGGGACATAATTAGGTTTTAAAAATGTTTCTGATTGCGAGACTTTTAAATACCGTGAAATGGCCGTTTATAAATCGTCACGTCTCTGCATTTACCAACGTGGCCTGTAAAGTTAATAATATTGATCCAATGCACAGCTTAATTTTATGAACTCTATATGGTCCTCTGTGATTACCGCAGAGAAATGTGTGGTTTGCCGTACGTAGAAAATATACGGCTTGTAGTTTCGAAACTCTGAATGCAAGTGTGGCGGCGGAGCGGGTTCATAATTATTCGGGAATCAGAAAAACTTTTGAAAACCGAATAATACCCTTACGTCGAGCATAAGATTAGAAGAAGACGTAATTATCTGCCGAATTAACAAAAGAATGCGTATTTTCATGCATGTTTTCCTTGAAATATAATTGGACATTTAGCGGCATCGAAAAATTCATGCTACTTATGTAGTCATTTTTTGTATGAAGACGGACGTAAGTTCATTTGAAAGCAGGCATCCTGAGGTAAGTGAAAAAATATTGAATTATGTTGCAGCCGGGCTAGTTTCACAACCCTACTTAATTGATCTTTTCGAAGCGAAAACGCATTGCGGAATTTCCGTGGACATTTCATGAGTTAACCCACCTACTGTACGTATTCCCGATAACGCCCGCCGAACTCCGAGCTAGCCCCCTGTGTTGGGTGGCGCATCTACCGCTAGGCCTATTTTCGGGGCAATCCCTACAATACACTACCGTTGTGGATTTCCACTGTCGTTGTTGGAACGAGAAAGACGTACGCTGAGTGCATCCTATTTATGTCCTCCTCCCTGCATGAAACTTTTACAATACGGCAAGAATGAAGTGGAGGAGAGTCGTAAACCCCCACAGAAAGTCGACTTATTTGGACAGCCGAATTAAAAATCATCTTATCACATTTAGACGGGGACTTTGTCCACAATGCAAGTCACAAGTTCCGTCTTCCAAGGTGATATGGATTGCACCCATATGGGGATGGACGGCTCTGTTCTGAAGGGATAAGCGTCATGCCTATCGCACGTCCTCTCCCATTGTCAGCTTTTTTGACATATTTGGACACATTTTAATACATCTGAGATAGTATTGGTCTTGGTGTGACGCAAGAATATAAGCTGTTTGAAGCCCAACGTCAAAAGGGAGCATTGACATGGTCCTGGAAAACCATCCTCTTTGGTCGTATCGAATATTTGATTATGAGTATGGTCTGTCAACTCCGAGAAATGTTAGAGGACCGGGATGGTATTTAAGCGAGTCTTTATATCTGGCAGGAAAGAATTTTAGAGCCTCCCGTGTGTGCATGCATGTTTTGTGTTGGGATCCCTTGGAATTTCATGTGCGGCTGCGATCGATAATTTAGTAGTTTACAGCGCAGGATGTACTCCAACGACAGGGAACCGCAGATGAAAACTGAAGCATGCTGACGTGAAGAACAGAAGGAACATCATTCCTTCCCCCCTCCTCCCAGATTGCAAGGATTCTATGTAGGTCGATAAGGATATGCTATGCGATCAGGGCAGGTTTAATAGGCAAGACTCCCTACTACTTTCATTTAAGTAGGCGTTATTTAGTTGAGTGCTCGTATACCAGGCATCACGTTTGTATGCGAATGCGAATGTATAAGATTGTGACGGCTCTTCACCTCTGCAATGTGTGCTCACCGTTGGTTTTATCTTGGTAAAGATTGCTTTTCATTTGAACTTATTGTGAAAGTCTCAACGGCTTCGGTTGAATTCGAACACACGACGGCAAGGGCGAGGCCTTAGTTCAGTTAACGCCCTGACCAACTGAACTACGAGGCTCCGGCCGGGAGTCGTAAGTTTAGTAACATTTGGGTTAAGTAAGCCCGCTTAGTCAACTACAACGTACGGCAAGCTGATTGCACAAGCAGCATTTCCCATGCATTCAAGCTAGAATCCAACACACTAAATAATCGATGATTGCTTTTTGCAGATTTGAGCAATTTGTTTAACCCAATTGCAAAAAATTCGGCGTCTTCGTTGGCTTGTCGGGCTCGAACGCAAGTTGCAGTAGTTTTGGGTTGATAACTTGATCCAAATATAATTATACTCACGGCTCCCGATTGGGTAGGCATAGCTTAGAATGTTGGCTTACACAAGCCTTGCCCTCGATGCTGTGGTTTCCAATCCCACCGAAGATGCAGATGTTTTTACAATTGACTTAAATAAGTCTGCAAAAAATTCACAATAAGTCAGTTTATCTTTGTTAATTCTTCATTTCACCGGGCCGTTTTTTTACCGATACCACCTCATACCACATACCACCTCAGCAGAATCAACCTATTCTGCATTTTTAAAATTCTTTCCGGGTTTGCAGAAATGACAATTTTGGAGACCAAATGGTCACATGTGGTTATGTAACCCCACCCGAAATAAACAGACCCAGCCATCTGTGGTACGGGACCGGTGGGACCATGAAACGCACTGCCGACGAGGTCATGTAGTTGTATGCAAAAGAAAAACTACTGGGAATGCGGGATTTTACTTTGAGCGGTTGAGAAATGGTTGTTCTAACCCCTAACCCTAACCTCCAGTACTAACCCATAAATCTAGCCCCTAACCCTGACCCCTAACACAAGCCCCTTACCCTATCTCCTTATCATGACCTTTAGCCCTAGCACCAACCCGAACAGAATTGTGTCCATCAGGTGGGGCTACATAACCACATCTCACCCACAGCAGATTTATCATGCTACTGATGTTTGGGAGCACCTGGTCGGTTCGCAAAGTCGAATCTTTAAATGCCCAAAATTAAACAAAAATTTAAATGACTTCCCGAGTCACTCCGCCTCGAGTTAATCAATTTTTCCCTCTTTCGCTGCCTCGGCCCTTTGACAGACGCTTGGCAGAGCCGCAAATCTGTTCCGGCGAACCATTTCATTTATTGCACCACAAAGAACACAAACCCCGGGATCACATTTCTTTGCTCATAAAAGCCGCCTTTTTTGAATTCTTTGCACAAATCTAGGTCTGTCAGTGGTTGCCCTAACGGTATGTCCACCATTGTCACTCTGCGCTGTCCCCCAGTGGACTATGATCGACTGTTCTCCAAAGCGGCGAAGACCAACGGCTTGTCCGTTGAAGTGCCTCCCTTGTGTGTGGACGGCACCTGTGACGGCTGCAATTACCACTTTATGGTGCTTTCCACCTACGCCTGCCCCATCTGCCGGAAGGAGGACCTCATGAGGCTGGAAGGCAGCTGCGATGGAGGCCAACGTGAGGTCAACCTCTTCGCTGCTGAGTACGTCCTCACTCCCTTACCCCCACGCCCCACCCCGTCATCTTGTTGATGGCTTTTTCAAATTAGTAGTTTCATGTACATTTCGTCAGGGTGTGCACAAGTCGGAAGAAGGCAAACATGCCCTCCTGCTGCCCACCCCCCCCCCGCTCTCGCCATCCAGACTTCAAGGTCGAGGAGGTTTCGACTCTCAAGGTCACTAATCGAGAGAACAGACGCTGACCTCATTTGGTTACTTAATCTTTCTTAGACGTGCCGGCCAACGTGATCCGGAAAGGCTTACAGCGGGTGACGTATCGAGCGGAGTTTTGACCGAAATTCGAAAATCTGTTTTAAATTATAAAGAGTCACTTAGGTGGGGTTGAAATTATCTGGCAGCAGAATGCCACGATATTTAAATCACTCGAGGATGTTTGTTTTTAAATGCGCTTATTTCCGGCTGCCGGCAAACAGCTCAATCGCTAAAAGAGTTCTATTTATGTAGTAGGTTCTTCCTTTGGTTTTAGATGTCCTTATAAAACCGGATATGTATTTTACAATGCAAACGCAGAAAAACATCTTTACCCGACTAAAGTTTTAGCAAAATACGTCTCATTTAATTTTTTTCACGAAAAAGGAGACATTTCAGCTTTAAAAAGTTTTTTTACCATGACATTTTGTAAGACAGCAAAATCTCTCTTCTATAGCGTCCAATCCGTGAGTTTATTAATGCTCCTTATAAAACAAACGACATGGGTTATATATATTTCGAAATTCGATGACTCCCTTATATTGTCTCCTCAGTGGCACAGGGCGATTGGAAAGTGTTCATCAGTATTTTGAAAACCTTAAACGCTGTATACAAACAACATTAGGCCATGCATGTTATGATCTGAAAATTTTTCATCATTTAAATGTTTTTTTTCGAAACCAAAAGCTACATCATCCGCGAGTGAAGCACTTGAGAAAAAGTGTAATTTGCTGTAGAATTAGTACAAGAAAGGATAATTCAACGCATGTTTTTGTTCCTCATGGCATCGAAAATTAGTGTACTGGTAATTTTTAGTGAGTGTAATTTGTGTATCGTCTCAGAAAGACGCTCATCGAAATGCCGATATCCTGGCGTGACTGGCATATATTTGGATTCTTCTGCAAGATAATAACTATTAGCTGGGATCATAGTTCAGAACTTTAAAGAACGTTCCTTGAGATACGCCATCACCGCATGTCTTCGTGAATTATGCTTCTCGGAACGCCCTTGCAAGTGTGGGTGACCATAGGCTAGACAGCGTGTTCGCTCGCTCTGCGTTTGCGAGACTTACAATCTCCTGGACCTCACGGTCTTGATCATGAAAGGGGGAATGGACGATCTTGACCTCGTTCGACTTTTGTGGGCCTATACCGCAGTTTCTTTTAAAAGGGAGGCTCTTGAAAACAGAATCCTCTTCGATTTTAAATGCTCAGTTGACTGACCATATAAGTACTAAGATATCGCTTAAATTGTTGATGCTGTGCCAGTTTAAAAATATGTATTATCAGAAACTAGTCGGCGCAAAATATATCTTATCAAGGGATCAAAATTTAAGTCGGACGCTTGGAGGTGGGACCTTTTATGGAATATTTGAAAATGCATGAAACATGTTTCCTCGTCAGAATAAAGGATAGCCTATGGGTATTACATAGGTGTTTTGGGCATAAAATACACAGATGTACAAGTTTGAATGTTTGAAATCGAAAAACTTGCCCGTTGGGCATCAATAATGTGTCTCTTTACGTCCTGTCTCACTGGACTTATAGTAGGTAGTCTATCTTGTGAAATGTTAACCGAAATACCGAAATGCGTTTTCATTTCGAAAATATTAATTAAGTACGGTTGTATAACTAATCAGTGCGCAATGTAATGCTATAATAACTCAGTTACCTCAGGATGTCGGCTTTCAAACGAACTTCTTTCCGGCTGCATGCAAGAACTATATTCTGCGCAAAATGACTATGTAAGTAGCATGGATTTTTCTCATTGATTTTCAAGGCCCTTAAAAATCCCATTATAGTTCATGCCAAACATACATAATAACGTTCATTCTCTTGCTTGTTCTGTAGAAAAAGACATTTTCCAATTTTACGCTGTAAGGAAGGGCATAATTCCGTTTTTAAAAACTTATCCTATTCCCGAATAATTTAGAACCCAACCTGCCGTTACAGTCGCATTCAGGGTTTCCAAACTACAAGCAGTATATTTCCTGCGTACGGAAATCCTTGCATTTCTCTACGGTATTAAGAGGAAACCATATGGGTTGGATTTGAGCCATATTGTTAATTTTAAAAGCCACATTGGTAAATGCCAGGACATAACGTTTTATGTGTGGCTATCTCACGGTTTTAAAAAATCTCACAATTAGACACTTTTAAAACCGAATTATACCATTCCTTCGCGTATAACATTGAAATACGTCTTAATTTTCTTTCGAATGAGCAAGATACTGAGTGTTTTTATACGTTTTTGCCATGAAAACTAATTGAATGTTTACTTGCGTCGAAAATCAATGGGAAAATGCATGTTACTTAGGTAACCATTTCTGCAGAGTGATATTTTTGCATGCAGCTGGAAAGAAGTTCATTCGAAAGCCGGCATTGTGAGGAAAATGAATTATTATGGTATTATGCTGCACGATAATTAGCTTTCCAACCCTCCTTAATTAGTCTTTTCGAAACGAAAACGCATTTTGTAATTTCGGTTGACATTTTATGAGTTAGCCCACGTACTGTATGCTGACCAAATAGCCTGCACATCCAAGTGGACTGTATTTGGTTTGATGGAAGTTTCCAGTTTAGCTTAGTTCTCTCACACAACGATGCGCCCGCTTGCTCTTGGGCGGGTACTAGTATAAAAAAGTATTCGGGTATAAGTAAGCGTTCAGTTCAGCTGAAAATTGTAAATATTTTGTCAGTTAAAATTTCTCACAAACATATTCTGCATAAAAGAACATTTTCCAGAACCTCATTGCTCAGGTGGCCACAACGCTAGCTGTACCTAAACCGCCCCCTTGCTTCCATGGGTCCCAATCCTACCGAGGTCGCGGTGTTTTTTTACAGTTGGATCAAAATGAATAAATATATCGCACTGCGTTTTAGACGTACCAAAATGACCACCTCAAAGTTCGTCATTGCGTTTAATGAGTTAGGTCACATATTGTGGACGTGCACCAAACGGCCTTTATGCACTAAGAGCAACCTGATTGGCCCTTGGGAATCGCCATCACTGCGGATGTCAGAGCGCCCTTAAGGATGGGAGGATTGAAATCCCCGAGAAGGTCAGCTTTTTTTGTCATGATTTCTTTTGTACTCTCTGCCGACAAAATCTCGCATGACATGCAGCTGGGGAGGGGGGGGAGACGGGAGGTTAAATACCCCCCCCCCCAAGGAGACTGCACATTCCTTCTGTGGACTTGTGAACCTGGTTTTGAGCTAGCCGCCATCTCGAAAAATTAGAAAAGCCGATTATTGTGTTGTTTTTTTCTTTCGCAGTGGATGCCGGTTTGATGACGGCGCCGAGCGAAAATTCACCGAAGCCTGTCCACTGCTGTCAACCAAGGGCAAGATTGCCATCGGGCTCGTCGTCGCTGTTGTCGTCTTCTTGATTCTCATCATCTTTTACTGTCATCAACGCAACAAGAAGTAAGTCCTCTTGCTTTACCAATATTTAGACTCTGACTTATTGAACTCCGTTTTCTCCATGCCCTGGTTTGTACACTGTCTGAGTGATTTTTAGAGGACCTGGGCGACAGGTGGAAATGCAGTTATGGGCATATGGAGCAGTAAGAGATTGACCGATTCATGGCATGAAATGCGAGTTGCAGGCGTCCCTCCAAGTCGATTGTTTTTAGAATGTTTCCCTCCACCTTCCCCCCTCCCTAAACGGGCTGCACTGCAAATGCGTTCGACCAAGACTTGGATCAGTCTGACTCACATAACGCGTTTATCGGGCTGTGTTGAGTCCGTCATCCATGTGGCGCATCCAAACCGGAGGCTCTAACTCTACGACACCCACTGTGTCCTGTATGTGGCACACATAGACGACCTGTTAAGCCATGCCGACTGCTGCGTCCACGCCCACTTTGGGCGTCTTGACTTTTTCTTGTCATTGGCTACTGACTGAATCTAAGTAGCTGGTTTATTTCGTGATCCATTTTATCCGCGACCTTATTTTTACTCAAACCCGTCTGCTGCACAATGAACTCGTTAAAGCTCAAGTCACTGTTAGGCTCACTTTGCAAGACAGTGCTGGACCTCGCCAATCGCCCTGTCCAAATATGACATGTGCATGTCCTCCACTCCTATCCATCCGCGCTCGTCTTCACCGGTTGGAAAGGCTGGCGCATCAGAAACTGGGTTTGCTGTCTAAAAATACTTAACTCCGAGTCGTTTCGTCCCGGCGGACGTCATCAGTAACGAAGGCTTCATGAATTGGTCACAGTGTCCAAGAATTAGGATCACTAAAAAGGTGTTGAAAATGTTTGTTTTTAACTACGAGGTGGTAGTATTACCAAGGGCAGCTAATAATGTATCAAGTTTTATTGCCTCAGCGTAAAACCGTCTACCAAAAGATGCATATCATAATCAGTACGCTGATGGTCGAACAGGCAGTAGTAATAATGGGGGAATGACGCCAACCTTCCAGTCACAGTTCATTTGACGAGAACCAGCTACACCTTCAAGTTGGACAAGACCGGAATCCTCGCATGAATTGCAGCCCGATTTTGACAAGCTTCATCGGACCACAATCCATCAACAAGCACAATAGGTTTCTCCTCTCCTATTAATAGTACCTGGTCAGGGCAATTAGGGGTGGGATGGATACTAGTGGTCTGTTAGATCATCATCACACAAAATACGACCGTACGCGATGTGCGCGGGTGCTTCTAATGTTGGTTGGTATGTGTTCGCATGGAAACTGCTGTCTCTACTGCTAAGTCCGGAACGTCGGACGAGGTGGAGTCTTGTTTCTTCGCTCGCCTCTTTCTCGACTGTTTCCTTGAACTCATCCATTCCGGTGTACAACGTAGTATACAGCCGGCGTCCGGTATTCTGAAACAGAAAATAATTAATCCAGGGTGAAAAAATACCTTAGAGCATATTATCCTATGTACACGAAACGGAAATTTTCTAATGTTTTTTGTCTGTCAAGCATATTTTAAAATGCGCTACCTATTATTACAATTACACCAGTCCTCTCTATCAAAAGGTTTTCGGTCCATAAGAGCAGTCAGACTCCCTAAGTGTTTTTTCTAATTGAAGAATTGTTTGAGGGGGTTTATGATGCCAGTAAGTATGGATAAGGAAGTGATATGCATTCTGCCTCTTTGATTAGTCTTCAAAGTCGGTTAGATTCGTAAGAAAGTAGTCAACACGAAACCGTTTACTCACAAATATTTATCAGGGTTCCGCCTGCTTTAAATATTGGAAGCTTGAGACATTCGGGTATTTGACAGTGGTAAATTTTTAGCGACCTGTCAGACATTTCCTTTATTTCAATATCTTCTTTCGACTGAAGGGCTACGAAGCAAACGCTCCAGTCAGACTAGATTTTACGGGCTTTTTCCCCGCGGGCGTCCTGGGGATTGTCAAATGTCAGCGATTTTTCGTACAACTGGCTTGCTTTGTCTTCGGGATCAGGAATCTCGCAGATGATTGACTGCTCTGTTTTTCAGATAGCATCTACCAAAAGAAATGTGTAGATTTTGTGTGTAGCTATAGACTATAAGCAAGTATTCGGTGCTCAGTGAATTTTTCAGGCTAAACCCGCTTCGATCAGCTGAAGATATTTTCTAGAGGATGAAAAACCCTTTCCCCGCGGTGTTTCAATGGGCTAGCTATTATGGTCCCATCTGGCCGATGTTCCAGCGTCATTTGCACTCATTAAGGGGCTACATCAGAGCATAGACAGCGGAGTAGCCCTGGTTCCCCTGGTTTTGGAGACATCCAGTTAACTGGGCTACTTTCTATTGGTCAGTAGTAACATTACCCGTCATAATCCAGGTTTCGTTGAGTCCAAATGCAAACAGTTACGCGCAAGCATCTCTCACCTTCCTCCAAATACGTACCTTTTGGAAATATACATCGCCCAGTGTATTCGAAGAATAATATTAGCTCATTAATGATTTTGCCTACTACATGCCGTCTTACCCAATATGGCCATCTTTAACCAATAATCTTACACTGCTCGTTCACCGCTCGTTTACACGTCCATAATTTTGAAAATTTTCGAGTACAACTCGGTTCCCTTGTGCAGAACCACATTGTTTTTCACTATCCCGTCAAGTTTCTGGTATTTTAACGGACGTGTTTGTGTAAATCACTGTGCTATGGATGTTCGATAATGAGTGATCTCTATTGAAATTAACATAATAAGTAAAACCCTGCTCCCTGAACAAGGCAAAGGCGACAAAACATGCAGAATTTATTGACGTCATTACATTTCGTGACCTCTTATTCAACTGCACACGATCATTGCGTATTTCGAAGATGAGGCAAGCTGTTCAATCAGAGATAGGCCTAGAGAGATGAAACATGAGAGGTAAGTAAAACATAGAAAGTGTGCGCATGACGAGGGAGCCAGAGCGGGAGGGAAGTTATCGGGGCAAGCGAGTTTACTTTACGGTGAAAACATGTCACACGGGAATAATATTCAGCACGCCGTCAGTCCTTAATCCTCCCACGCAACAGCCACCTCAGGGCCTTTTTATCTTTTTCTCTGGCACGCGCAAATAAATATCGCCAGTTACTTTCATCGCAATTGCCCCCTGGAGTAAGTAACCGCGGCCATAAATCACAACGTTTGCCGCATCGTCCTTTAAACCTCTACAAACTTGTGGGATCAGTTTGTGATGTTGGATAAAAACAGCGTCCATTTAACCCTGAATGGTCGCTTCTGTGCGCGCAATCTGTCTTGGCTACGGCACTCGAGAGTGCGCTGATACCCAGCCCAATACCAGCAACGGAACTATAATGGGCAACGGTATAGAGAATGATCCCACTTTACTGTCAGTAGACTGTGGATCGTGTCATACGTGATTACGGGGGGTTTTACGGATGAAGCAACACACTAGACAGTAAGCTGACGAAATGCAGGAAAACACAGAAAATATTTGGATTTCTCCTGAAAGACTAATCGTACGCTTTCCTACGGCACAGGAAATGAGCGCTGTAATTAAAAATAAACAAAAGGTAAATTTCAGAAATAAATAAGTTTGACTGATGGCTTGAACTCAAGGCAAGTGATTGTTATTGGCAGTGTAACGTCCGCAAAAGGCCTGCGAATGGCAACCAAGATAAAAGCCTCTATGACGAGATCCACAGTCTCCCGTCAGGTAAGTGGGGTCCTTCTCCATGACGTTGCCCTATAATGTCTTCAGACCGAGGTCATGGAAATTTATGCAACGTTTTCAGTCACTGTCCCGTGTTACGCACACACTAACTGCATAGAAAGCTCTTTTGCGTCGCCACGGTAGGCTTGTAGTGATACACATTCTTGACTAAAGTCTGTCTGCTGATAAAAAAAAAACAAAAAGGCGACTTCCAGGAGACCACTGATAAGAAGGCGATGCCAATGCTGAAAAAAGACATTTATTCGCTTGGCATTTCGAATTATCACTCAAACCGATAACTAGAGACAGTTCCAGGGAAGGATGACAGACGCATAGCTGTCATACCTACTAATAATTGCCAACCCCACATTAATCGTCGGTGATTCTTACTACTTTCACGATCACCTGCTTGTGCCTTCATCACCTTTATTTATCATTGTATCGTATGCTGATAATTCAAGTCAGATGAAGACAGCTTTAGTTTCAGATCGCATCTCCTCCTCCACAAACTGACGTTACTCATGCAGCGGGAATACCAACTGGGTTAGAATTACAACCCGCACTTCACTATCCTGTTAAGTCTGTAGTTATATAGAGTAGTAATTTTTAGTTTAGCATCAACTGCGCTTGGGACTAAGGCCGCAAAGTACTGATCATACTTAGTCCGACAACGGAATCTCATGAAATGTTATTCGAAATTCTAAAGTACGTTTTCGATAAGGAAAGATTACATAGATAAAAAAGCGTACTTAGTAACGGTGACTACTTAATTAGTGTGCCTTTTTTCACATTGAGTTTTGATGGCTTTATAAATGCAAATACATTTTATAGGAAACATGCACATAAACACTCTTCCTTACACTCATTCGGCAGGAAGTCTCGTCGTTTTCATATTCCATACTTGAAAGAAGGGTATATTGTGGTCATAAAAAATTTCTCAATTCCAGAATCGTGGCATCAACGTTTAGCGATTTCAGTCTACATGTATACATTCTGCCTAAGGATAATCCTATATTTCTCTGCGCCTTTAAGAAAATAATATGTTTAGTTCATAAAATTTTGCCTCAGATGCGCACTATGTCATATACCTCTTGAGGAGCATTAAGAAAAGAACAGGTACGGTGCTGTATGAGTGGACACTGCACTGTCTTGATAATTCTCGTAGTTTGAGACTTCTATAAGACCGAATGTACTCTTTCCTTGAGTATAAAATGAGTAAGAAAAAGCACATTTTCGTGCATATTTTCTATAAAATGTATTTGAGTTTAGAAAGCCGTTGAAAAGCAATGCGAAAAATTTGCACTACTTAAGTAGTCATTTTATCGACTGCGGTTTTACATGAGGGGAAAAGGAAGGGCGTTCAAAAGCCCATCTTTTGGCGAGTTCAAAATATCGTACGGTTATGGAACACGAAAATTGTTATTACAACCCCACTTAAGTAGTTCTTCCTAATCGAAAGCGCATTACAGAATCTCGGCAAACATTTCATGAGATCGGTCACTCACGGGACCACTCCCCAGCCCATTTTTCGGTCCATTCCAAGTACACCCCAGTGACTGCCCCCTTTTCCTGCCTGTTTCCCACTAGACTGGAGTACAAGTACATGAAGCTGGTGGAGGGTGCTGAGTCCCGCGTCAAGGGCTCCTTTGGCAGCAGCAGCCCCGGTTCCGAGGGCGGACCCCAACAGCAGGGGACTGAGTGTGGCATCACGGAGGATGAGCAGGATTTGGACTTCCGCCGAGGAAATTCAATAAAGACCGTCAGCGCGGGGAAGTTGGACGTGGCTTTCAAACGGTCGCCGCAGCACCAAACCAAGCCGGGAGTCGGTTTCGGACCCGTAATCTTCCGTGTAAGTTTTCTCCGTGTATCACAAAAATAGTAATTGCAGTAGAAGTATATTTTTAAAGTCACAACTGCATTCCACGGTCGGTGCAGCCATCGCACCTTTTCGCACGATTGTTATTATTATTAGATTATTGTCTGCTTCCGCGTTTTTTTATATTGAAAATTGGGGGCGAAGCGGGAATGCCCAATTTCTAACCCGCAATTACCGTAAATCCATGAAGAGTAAAGGGACCGTAAGCCTAGATGTCATCCTGATTCACACCGATCTTTCCATAAAATAACTGTTTTAAACCACGACCTTCCGATGAAAATGTCTTTTCTTTGCTTTTTTGTTGGAGATTTCTTTGTTCAATGGTCAAGGAAGGTGGATATTAGGCCGAAAATTGTGTCGATGATTAATATCGAACTTTTCACCTGTTCACACGTTTTCCATAGGTCTATTTCATCTGGAACAAACAGGCTTTTGTTCAAGTCGGTAAGGCGTGCATCTCCGCCAAGTCTGATTCACACCTCTAGAAACGCTAGCTGCGGAACTTCGGGATGCTGATCTGCGATCAATCCTGGCGCCAGAAACACAGAGCTTGACTTAATCTTAATCAACTGCTGTCTGTACAGCTTTTTCAGCCTATTATGCGATATTCTATCAGGAAAGCGCGCCATCATAATTTTCCAAAATCCCATCATGTCAATCGAGACCAATGGACAGACGACAAACAACATCGGTTCTTTTGCCAGAAAAATGGTTAAACTAAGCTAATTAACGACCCTGAGGTTCCCATGAATGCGTTTTTTGACGGCAGGTTTTCACGCCTTGATGGTGCCCGCTGTAAAGCCCAAGTATACTCAGCTTTTTCAGAGAGTCAGACTCTAACAAGCCGCTGGTGCATTGAAGTGGGGTACGACCTTCATGAAACTCTCACGCAAGTGAGTTTCGAATCGCTGTCACAGGCGTCTGATACACGTAATGCAAACATGGTTCTGCGTGTGGCACGCGTATACGGGCTGTCTAGCCTTGGAAATCACTAAACCCGCGGTCACCTCAGATCGACTTGACATTGTCTTGACATAGGAGCAAGGTCAGTTAGGGGATGAGAAAGATAGATGTAGATTCTGTGCGCGTCTACCGTCCAAGTCATCAGTGCCTCCCCCCAACCCGTGGGGCACGTTATGGATGTCGTCACCCGCGACAGTCGAGTTGTCATCGTACAGGTGTTATGGTATGCATATACATTGAAATGGCAACTTCTAGCGCGTGCTATCGCTGCATTCCGCAAGCCAATGACGCTAATCACTGACTAAAATGTGCGATTAGTGAGGTAGCTTACGAAACACGATGATCGAAATCTGGATGATCACTTCTGGGCAGGTCAAATGTTGTAGGGTTTGTTACAGAGAGCGGGAACGGTGCAAATTCACGACCTAAATCAAAACGACGACGCGACCACGCGCCGTGCAGTACGCCAAGCCGACCGCAGCATGTCAACTCGGACAGCCAATTAGCGTGCAGTGCAGTATTAAGCACGCGTGATACATTTGCTCACGCGTGCAGCGGATCGAATATTCGATATTTTCCCGCAAGGAATTATCGCGCACGAGTTGACCAATCAACGATCGCCAAGCGACACGCCGGAAGTTTCTGGAACGCTCATCACGACAAGGCACGCAATAGGACGGAATATTACGGAACTCTCAAGGGACCAAATAAATACTGCGAGTTTGGATAAGCAAAAAACCCCGTGTTCGCGGGCTGTTTATTAAGTGATTTACCACACTGACGGTACAGGTACTAGCTAAAAACCAAAACTTTGCACAATAGCCTGACGCGCTGAAGTAGTAGTCATTTTCTTATGCCTAATGCGTTGCTTATTAATTTAGTTGGCAAAAAATTCTTGCATTTTTGGTGAAAATCAAGCTCTGTCTTAAATTCACGGTCATTTATCTAAAAATGGAAGACGACAAAATCATCGCCATCGATAGAAACCGAGATTTTTCGTTTTGAGTAAATCGAGGGAAACTTTCACTCCTGCGACGTCCCTAACTGCGAAATCAGGAGTAAATCCCCTTTGTCTTAGTCAGCCGTATCTCGACCAATCAAAAACAGAAAACCCCCGTTGGAACACAAAGTCGTTAATCATATATTTTAACTCTTAATGGATAAATTTGGGCCCGCTTCTGATTGATTAAAGATTTTCCGTAAGTGTGCACAAGTTTCTTGAGTTGTGTCACCCACCGAGTATGCTCTAAAGTCAACTACGGAAATTCGTTTTTCTTGGCTGCCCTGTTTATCCGCACATGCAATAACCTCCCTTAGTCATTCCATCCATTTGCCCCGCCTAAACTTAAACTGCGCCGATTAGTCCGGGCAAGGTCAATTAGCGTTTTTTTAAAAATTTGCCATCTCTAATGCACTATTCACAGCCTATGTTTTGATATTGGCATCTGGGTAACATCTGCATTTATTACAGATTCACAAAAGGGTTTCCGATGCTTCCAGTTCTAGTCAGCATTGTAATGTCTGTAAGGAGTCGCCATAACACACAATGAATGAATTGACCACCTAGATTTCCTTTTTGCGGAAGCAAACAAGTTAGGCCGCTTGCTGCGGAGAGGAAAATCAGTGTCCAACTGTTTGGTCACCACTACTTTCGTCAGTGTTCCGACAGATATCTGATCGGAGAATCTCCTAACCTACATGCCAATGTATCGAAATTTACGTCATTCCATTTCTGATATAGCTATATCCCACATCAGCGTTTTTGGTTCTAAATAACCGCATAACTCTGTGTATCTCGGCGGATCTGTTTCTTTTCAGTCAGATAACAAAATGGTTTATCATCACGGGCGGTATTGTCAGTCCTGGTCGGCTGCTTCCTACTTGTCGGAACTCATGCATGCCGATCTTTTCTCTCCTTCCAGGGTCGCGTCGCGGAAGACTCACATATACTCACGCTGGATGAGGGCAATTCCACCGAGCCGATTTAAACCGCAGTCTGGACAGAGTGCGTATCAGCGTCCCGCGCCGTCCTCCAACTCTTACATGTCTTCTCCCCCTTTTTGTTATCTGCCTGTTCTGGTCTGCCGTGTAGTCAAGCCTCTGCCTCGTTAGCGGGTCGATTGTCGTCATTACCGTCCTGCTGCGGCTCGTCCTCCCCCCGTCCGCCTCATTTTTGCAACCCCACACTCTGGCCCTCGCATTCTCGCATGTGTTCTGTATATGACTGCACCCCGGCACTCTCCCCCCATCCCCGGTTCTGAAGGCTGTGACGAGGGCGAAGGACTGTTGTGTGCGCCCAGTTCATCCGAC